TTTTCTCACATCCCCCCCACCCCCATACACACACAAACTCACTCTCCTGCTGGTAATAGCTCATCTAAACTGACCACTCTCCAAGTTTAAATCCAAGTTAAACCAGAACATCTGGGGGGGGGGGGGTTAGGAAAAAACAAGAGGAAACAGGCTACCTTGCATAATGACTTAGCCACTCCCAGTCTCTATTTAAGCCTAAATTAATAGTACCCAATTTGCAAATGAATTCCAATTCAGCAGTTTCTCGCTGGAGTCTGGATTTGAAGTTTTTTTGTTTTAAGATAGTGACCTTCATGTCTGTGATTGCATGACCAGAGAGATTGAAGTGTTCTCCGACTGGTTTATGAATGTTATAATTCTTGACATCTGATTTGTGTCCATTTATTCTTTTACGTAGAGACTGTCCAGTTTGACCAATGTACATGGCAGAGGGGCATTGCTGGCACATGATGGCATATATCACATTGGTGGATGTGCAGGTGAACGAGCCTCTGATAGTGTGGCTGATGTTATTAGGCCCTGCGATGGTGTCCCCTGAATAGATATGTGGGCACAATTGGCAACGGGCTTTGTTGCAAGGATAAGTTCCTGGGTTAGTGGTTCTGTTGTGTGGTATGTGGTTGTTGGTGAGTATTTGCTTCAGGTTGCGGGGCTGTCCGTAGGCAAGGACTGGCCTGTCTCTAGAGGCAATCTAGAGACTGTAGTATGTTCTCTCAATCAGGTGGGGGTAAAGTAGAAATCAATTAAATAGGGACAAATCACAAGGAAATCAGAGTTAGCTGTTTTAGCAGGAACTACTCCTTAAGCTTACACCATAAACTATTCCTGTTATCGACTGTGTATTAGCAGTGATTGTCTTCATTAAACTCACTTCATAGGTAACGTGATAAATGAAGGGGGCGGGGAGGGGAGGGTAGCTCCCTTTTATGACACCCAGCCAGCCAGTAACTATAAAATCCCTCTTAGTATCTGTTCTCTAATTGCTTTACCTGTAAAGGGTTAAAAAGTCTCCCTGCATGGGTAGAAGGAAGGGAGTGGGCACCTGGCCAAAAGAGCCAATGGGAAGGCTAGAACCTTTTAAAATTGAAACAAGGACTCTCCCCTTTTGTCTGTCTGTGGTTGTTCTCTCTGAGAAGCTTGGCCCAGGTCTGAAAAAAATCATCAGATCACACCTAGAAACTACTCATTTAAAACCCTGGATATGTGAGTAGATCAGGGGAAGACGTGATGAGGTGTATCTCTTTTATTTCTTTGTGGCTTGTGGACTCCTCTGTGCTAACCCCAGGTGTTTTCGTTTTGCTTGTAACTTTTAAGCTGGGCCTCAAGAGAGCGATTCTTGATGCTTGTTTCTTGCCAGAGTGGGGAATCCGCCTTGACAGGGAACAGTTTTCATGTATAAAACAACAGCATTTTGAATTAGTGAACACAATACACTGGAGCAGTAGTTTTCAAACTTTTTTTTCTGGAGACCCAGTTGAAGAAAATTGTTGATGCCTGCAAGCCAACAGAGCTGGGGATGAGGGGTTCTGGGTGTGGGAGGGGTTCATGGCTGGGGCAGGGGGTTGAGGTGTTGGAGGGGGTCAGGGCTCTGGGCTGGCGGTGCAAGCTCTGGTGTGGGGTCAGGGATAAGGGGTTGGGGGTGCAGGAAGGGGCTCCGGGTTTGGGGCAGGGGATTGGGGCACGGGGCTGGGGCACGGGTTACCTCGGGTGGCTGCTGGTCAGCGGCGCAGCAGAGGTGCTCAGGCAGGCTTCCTGCCTGTCCTGCACCCTGGAAGCGGCCAGCAGGAGGTCTGGCTCCTAGGCGGAGGTGCGCAAGCGGCTCCGCATGGCTCTCACTCACAGGAACCTTCCCCCACCGCAGCTCCCATTGGCAGTGCAGAGCTGGTGCTCGGGGCAGGGGCAGCACGCAGAGCCCCCCCCCTCTCCCCCACGTAGAGGATCCAGACCTGCTGCTCACCGCTTCCGGGGCACAGCGCGGTGCCCCAGGACAGGTAGGGACTAGCCTGCCTTTGCCGGGCAGCACCGCCGATGGGACTTTTAATGGCCCTGTCGGCAGTGCTGACCAGAGCTGCCACGACCCACTGCCTTACATTCTGCAACCCAGCGCTGCTGGGTCATGATCCACAGTTTGAAAACCAGTGCACTAGGACACAAACCCCACAGTTCCACATCCCCTTGTCAGTTTCCTGGTTTTCAGCCTCCATAAGCCCAGAGGTTGGAGAAAAAGTTCTTAGGCTGTTTAGTTATTTTGGGCAATCCTCTTGTGCAACCTTGGTTTACGGGTTTGAGTTGCAGCCTAAATTCCTTGTTGCAATATGTTGGCTTCTTGGCTGAACTATTATCCCTCTGCTCCTTTCTGGCTTACAGTCCCTTTGCTCTCACAATTTCTTTATTCCTATCTTTTCACCTTGTCTGCCTTAGGATGCTGTTTGGATGGTTTGTTTTACAGTCCTTACTATTTTCTTTCTTTCACTACAACTCACTTCCGCCTTATTTCTTAAGTCGGTTTCACTTTAATTACAGTTTATTTCCTTCACATTTCATTGGGGCTGTACTTTTCTCCCAGTTTTCTAACAATGTTTTCTAATAGTTTCTTAGAGACTCTTTGGCTATTTTTCCTCTCATTTAACAGCATTGTTCTTCCTTTAACTTTCCCTCTTTTCCCCTTACACCATTATCTTTCCTCTTTCTAGGTACTGCCCGTTTGTGGCTAGCCCTACTGCTCCTGCTCTCTCTGGCTTTTCTCTTCCTCCTCAACTAGACTATCTCCCTTTGAGCTCTGTCCCTGGTGGCCCTCTGACGTCGGGGGCCCTAGTCACTGGCTCCTCACTCGCTGCGGCCCTTCTTTTCTGGTGGCAGTTGCTGCTTTGTTCTCTCTCCCGCAGCGCTGGGCAGCCTGCTCCAGACTCCACCAGCCGTTTCCACCACTGCCTGATTGGTCTACTCACAGCAGTGCTCCGGGGGGAGCTGCCACCTGCTCTTTTTTCTTTTTCCCAAAACCACCCTGGGCTCAAGCTGATCCTGCTTCGACTCCCCTGGAACCCTTGGAGGTCCCCAGCCCCGAGCCACTGTTCCAGGTGCCCCCTTTAAAAAAAATATTCTAAACAGCCAGAGGCTGCTTCAGTTGCACTTTTGACCCACAGCTGGGGGGACATCACATAGTCAGCCCCTGAAAAAGAACCACAGTGAGTGTCTGCCCCCAGTGCCAGGCTCAGAGTGACCCACCCCACACACAGGGACTGTCACACCAAGAAGGGCATTAGGGGCTCTTGTGCCTGGCTGCTGTCCTGCAAATGCAGCCTCGGGGCAGAGCCTCAGCAAGGGGCCATGTGGTGTTTGGAGCCCCCCATGCCCATCAAATACCACACCCCGCGTGGGCTGTCACCATGCCCAGGGCTGTGTCCCCTGCTGGCAGTGTTCATGGGCTGGGCCCTGGGGTGGGCTGTCTGGCACCAGGGAGATCTAAAGGGACTGAAGCAGGTGAGCCATGGGCTGCAGGCCCCAGCAACCCACTGCTGTGGTGGAGGAGGCATGGCTCACTTCTGTCGGCTGGGATCTCACCTGTGGGATGGAATTCCCACTGTCCCAGCCAGGGCGTGGGGGTCCAGCCTAGCCGGTGGGGCCAGAGGCAGGGTCAGAAGCCAGGGACCAGAGCCAGGCAAAGAAGCAGGGTCTGCCATGGCAGCCATCTAGGGTCGCCTAGCTGCATCGACACCAAGCTTCAGTAATGCCCCTCGCTGGCAGGGCCCCCAGCACACTGCCCCTCACGCAGCCCGTGGTGCTTGGCCCCAGAACGCCAGCAGCCTGTGTCTGGTGACTCTGCCGGCGCTGCTGAGTGTTGGCCCCCCAGGGACCATCAGCCCCACGCTCTAACCTGCGGGGCCTCACAGCCCCGAGGCCACAGAATGGGGCAACTCCTGCAGTGAGAGCAGAAGATCCTCTGCAGTCACAGCGTCCAACCTCTTGGGCCGATCTTGGCTGGCAACTGTGGGGGTCCGGGGGGATCAGTGCAGGCGGAAGTGCAGGTTGTGTAAATGCGTGAGACCCTTCCCCAGTGATCAGCGCACGCTGAACGGCTGACACGGCGTGTACCAGCCGGGGCACCCAAGGAGCTGGCACAGGGCGTACTGGCTGCCACACCCCCGGCGCGGCCTGGCACTTCAGTGAGAAGCTGGGGCTGTGCTCAGCAACGTGGTTGGGAGTCCAGTCCAGCCATGTGTGGGACCAGGTCTGGGCCCCCTGGGGCTCCACTCGCACAATTAATCAAGTTTCCGAGAGAGGGTCTATGGAAAGTGCCACGCTGCTGCTGGAACAAACCTGGGCCCGGCCTTGCCAGCAAACACCGAGAGGACAGCTTTGCACTGTCACGCTGGGTTGCAGCCCCTGCTGCCGGCTCAAAGAAGAAGGGTATTGAGGAGCCATGGCTGGAGGGGTTCTTTGCTCCCCAGCTAGGCAAGCCCAGAGGGACGGCTTGGCTGCTGAATTCTATTGGGTGGGGACTTTGAACTACTAGGACCTGTCCAGCCTGCTAGCAGACTGGCACTGCCAGACTGTGTCTTCACTGCACAGTTCTCCCAGGTTATCTGCACCCGGCATAGCCTAGCTCAGGTGTGAGCATCCCCATGGCCAAGCACACCTCTCGTTACTGTGCCTTCCATGCTTCTGCCCTCACGTGGGTGTGGCTGGAGCATGGCCCGTGGTACGCTGGGCTGAGATGTACACGGATTTCTTCCCAGTTTCTCCTTCAAAAGGAATGATGGGGAGGCACTGGAGGGTGGGCAGCACCTGTGTGATTTGTGCCACCACTCCTGCAAAGTGGACGAGTTAATGTCAAACTGCAGCCCGTGTCCAGCTACAACCTGGGGATAACTGGCTGGCAGCAGCACTGCTGAGAGGGGCTGGAGGTTACAATGCGCCACAAACTGAGCAGGGGTCAGCAACGTGACATATCTGTGAAAAAGGCTAATATGGCTCTGGGGTGTATTAAAAGGAGTGTTGTGTGTAAGGCATAGGAGGTCATTGTCCCATTCTGCTCAGCACTGGGGAGGCCCCCAATGTCCAGTTCTGGGCACCGCACTTTAGGGAAGATGTGGACAAATTGAGAGTCCAGAGAACAGCAACAAAATGGATCAAAAGTTTAGAAAACCTGCCCTGTGAGGAAAGGTTAAACCTGGTCAGCCATGGGCATGTTTAGTCTGGAGAAAAGATGGCTGAGGAGGTACCTGGTAAGTCTTCAAACATGTTCAGGGCTGTTAGAAAGATCAATTATTTGCTGTGTCTGCTGAGGGCAGGACAAGACCTAAGGGACTTTATCTGCAGCAAGGGAGATGTAGGTTTGATGTGAGGAAAAACTTTCTAACTCTCAGGGTAGGTAAGTTCCAAGGGAAGCTATGGAATCTGTCATGAGAGGTTTAAGAACAGGTGGGACAAACCCCTGTCAGGGCTGATCTAGGTTTACTTGGGCCTGCCTCTGCGCAGGGGGCTGGAATAGATGATCTGTCGATGCTACGGGATGGTACCATGCGCTGCAGTACGTAGCCATGTGCATGATCCCACCAGGGGATGCAGATAGACTGGAGAAGACCAGACACCCTGTGCCTTTGGTTTCGATTGTACCCCATCCACCACATGAGCCCTGTCGCAGCCCAGGAGCCAAGGACTGCAGGGTATGGGCACAGCTGGTCTCTAATGTGTCTTTATTGACCCGTCACACTGGGAACGTGCTGCTGCATTAATAGGCCGCGATGGTCTGGTCGATCCAGGCCCTGAGCTTGGTGACGCAGGTGTAAACGCTGGGCGTGGAGGGGGAGCAGGTGCTGCTTCCCCAGGAGACGATCCCCACCAGGGTCCAGGCACCGTCCTGCTGGCACACCAGGGGGCCACCGGAGTCACCCTGCAAGGAGAAGCAGCAGGTTGGGGGGGCGTCTCCTTCTAGGGGGTCGCAAAGCGAGGGGGACCTGCTCATCCACCGGCTGTTCCCCGAATGCAAACGAGTCTGCGCTTGTCTGGATGGAGCCCTGTGTATCCACTGTGGGTCCCAGGGCTCGGGAGAGCTATGGGGAGCGGGGATTGCGGGCAGGGAAAGGGGAGCCTAAAGGAAGGGAGGGAGGGATGCATAGATCCCTGGTTAGATCAAGGGGGGGCTGCATGGACAGATGCAGGGATGGGGTGACAGGCAGGCAGGGAGGGAGGGAGGGATGGCTAGAGGTAGGCTCAGGGCCTGGGCAGCCGGGCAGGGGATTGCAGGGCTGAAGGAAGCAGCCAGGGACATGCTACCCGAGAGGAGTTCCCTGTGTCAGGACACTGATGCCTGGGCCCCATCCCCAGCAGTATCTGCCTGGACAGCTCAGTGCAGGTGGCACATCCATCCCCTCTGCGTCCCCTTGCCCGCCTGTCCAACTCTAGTGCTAGGACCATGGTGCTCCGCAGTTCCTGCCCTGGTTCCTACCTGACGCTGCAGTGGGCAGTGGTGACCACCCAGTTCTCGCTGATCAGGGAGCCGCCACAGAAATGGAAGCTGGTGTTGTCCTGCGAGGAGAGGGAGAGCGGGTGGTGACTGAGCCAGCCCACAACAGCTGTGTGCTGGGTACCCCCCAAGTCTGCCTGGCGGGAGCTGCTGGGAACCAGGGGAGGGGAACTGGGGCCAGAGCATCAAAATAAGGGGGAGCAGCTGGCTGAGACCCATCCCTGGGAAGCAGGCGCCCCTTCCTAGCAGCCAGTGCCCTCTGCCCCCTTTGCCAGGCTCTGCCAGACACAGATTGCAGCAGCAGCAGGCCTGCCCCACCCCGCAGGGATCTCTGCCGAGCCTGTGTGCTTAGAAGGGAGCCAGGGTGTGCGATGCCCGGCAGGGGCTGGGAGCGGCAGGAGAGAAGGGAACTCGGGGCAGGGGAAGGGTTCCCACCAGATCCTGGGTGCTGGAGCTGAGGGGCTCTGGGAGCAGGGCTGGGGGAAGGGTCCTGGCAGGTGCCCTTGGAGTGGCAGAGAGGCAAGGTCAGTTCATCCCACTATCTTGGGCAGCGCTGCCCCTGTTGGGTAACAGGCCCTTGTTCCACAGTAGAGCAGGCACCGACGGGGGGCAGGGAGGCTGGGAATCCATCTACACACTGGAGCCAATCTAAGCAGCTAGGGACAGCCAGTGCTGCTGGGAAACGCACACAGAACGTGGAGGCGGGTGCTGCAGGGAGCAGCTGGGGGCCCAGATGCCAAGGTGATGGGCATGTGCAGGCCCTGTCAGATGAATCCCCAGTAGCACTGAGACACTGCCTAGCTGCCCTGGGACACCATGAAATCACATCCCCCACCTCCCCGGGTTCTCTAAGGGCCAGGCCCCTCCTGCCTTTCCCCCCAGCTTTGCTCCCCACGGGGGTCCCTGCCTGGCCGAAGGGGTTGCTGGGCTCTCACCTGCAGGGAGACCTGCCAGGGCCAGGATCCAGGAACCGCCGTCTCGCCGTTCACGATTCGTGCATAACCGCTGATGACAGGTTGGATGGCAGGGAGGCCGCAGCCTGCAGGAGGGAAGGAGAGGAGTTGACCACAGCTCCTGGTGTCCAGCTGGGAGGGAGCACAGCGCTAGGGCCCAGGCTGCTCCATGGGGCACCCCAGCAGTGGGGCAGTAGCTGGGGGATCGGTCAGTGGCTGGGGGACCTTGCTACAGCCATGGGCATGCACTGCCCACTCCAGTTCACCTGGGGGCGTCCCCCAGGGCCAGGGCCAGGGCCAGGGCTGTACTGCCACCATGGGGGGGAGGATGGACTGGGGGGGCCCCGAGCGCTGTCAAGCACAGCATGGCATTGGCCGCATCCATCTGCGCCATCAGCAGTGTCTCTCCAGCCGCGGGAGTAGTGACAGGGCTGGGGCCACCGTCACCTGCGTCTTCTCGGGAGCTCCCTGTGGCAGAGAGACCCTTCCCCGGCTCTGGGCCTTCCAGCCCCTGCTGGCAGTCGAAGGAGGCTGGGTGGCACTTACCATGGGCAGCGCCCAGGAAGGCGAGGCAGGGCAGGAGCCAGAGGAAAGCCATTCTGCTTCTTACATGGGTCGTGGAGACCAAGCAGGGTCAGCAGCCCTTTTTATACTCCTGCCAGGGGCAGCTCTGGGGAGGTGGCAGCTAAGAAAGAGACAGGAGCCAGTTTTTCACCCTGCTGTCTGGGGCCATTGGGGAGATAAGCTGGGCATCCCTGAGGGGCCATGGGCAGAGTTCCAAGGGGCAGGCTGGCCTGGGGGCAGGGCTTGGGCCAGGAGCTGGGACCACAGCAGCTGCTCCCTGGAGGAGTGTGGGGAGCCAGGGAGCTGCATGGGAGCCAGAGGGCCAAGACCTGGGAGCAGAGAGCCCGTGGGAGTCTGCGACCCTCTGCCCTCAGGGGAGTGACAACCCCAGGGAGCCAGGCACCACGTCCTGCAGTGCATGATGCATGCTTCCCTTCCCCACTCAGCATCCTGCAGGCTGTGCAGAGGGGAGAACACAATGCCCAGGGCTCTGCGAAAGCTGTCCTAATGCTCAGTGGGCTGCTTCTTTGGTTTACCATCCAAATGGTGTTTTACCAGTCACCCTGTGACCCGGCCTCTCCTCGCGCACCGTGCCTTGCTGGCGGCAAGTGTTACTTCTGGGGGAATTCTGCGCCACTGCGCACACACGTAATTAATGTCCCACGCAGCCTGTTTCTTTACAGAAAATAAATTCTGCCGGAAAGTTGCTGCAGTTCCGCCTTTTGCCCACCAGGGACCACTGTGGTGCTAGAACTGAGTAGGCGCTCCCAGGTGCCAGACTTGCAGCAGGGGCTGAATGGCAGTGGAGGCGTGGGTACAGGGGGGGAGCGGGCAGGGACACATGGAGATGGGGGAGGGAGTGCAGGGACACATGGGGGAAGGCAGGTGACTGAGTGGGGGCACAGAGACACATGGGAACGGGGAAAGGGGGTGCAGGTACACATGGGGATGGTAGGAGGGGATGCAGGGACAGATGGGGAAGGGGTGCAGGAACATATGGGGAAAGGGGCAGATGTGCCTGACTGAATGGGAGAGGCTAGGGGTCAGCCAGGGTCTGCATGGGGGAGGCTCCCTAACAATCCCTCCCTGCCCCCCCCCCCACCCAAATCTGTTTCATATTTCTCCCACCCACACCCAACAACCCTCCAGGTTCACTCCCAGGCTCCTTCCTGATCCTCCATTACCCCTGGCTCCCCCAAGCCTTTGCACTGCTTCTGAAGGGGCAGGAAATACGTTCCTGTTCTGTAGTTTAAATGAATTACTCAAAGTTACATATTAATATGCCTAGTGAGGAATCTATTTGACAAAAAACATTTCCTGAATAATTTTCGTTGTCTGGATTGTTCCAGGCATACTTGCTGACAAGTATTTTGAAATAAATCACCAAAATAATTGAAACTGGGGTGATTATATTACATTATATATTATATTGTGCTATTTTGACAAATAAAATATGCTGAATTTTAAAATATTGGGTGCAGAATTTTCAGGCACAGAATTCCGCCAGGAGTAAAGTGTGCAGCACCCAAACCCTAACAATTCTGCAGCCAGTTCTTAGCTGGGCTTAAACCTTGCCCTGAGCTGGGGAGTCCCCTGCGCAGAGATATTTGGCTCTCCCCAACCCACAGTCAACAGACCCTTTGCACTTCTGCCCCCATCCAGAGGCTGGGTGGCTTTCCTCGGCGCCTGTTCAGCTCACCAGAGCGCCCTCAGAGTGGGGTGTGGGGCTTTCCCTGGCCAGCCAGCACACCTGTGGCAGGTGCCAGAAGGTTTCTGATAAGCACGGGGGATGGGCAGCACCCTGACCCGGACACAAGTGGGTAATAGGCTGAGCAATAGGGCAGCAGGAGGACCCTCAGCTGCTCTTCTCAGCTCCAGGGCTCCTCAGTGAATGCCCCGCAGTGTGCTCGGATGCTGCCGCCAGTTACCGACTCAGCTGCCAACTGATGCTTTCAAGACTTTCCCTCCATCTCCTCCCTGTTCGGTCAGCTCCAGTCTGTGCATGTTCATCAGTTGCATTTGTCCTCTCCACCTTCTCTGGGTTGCCTTTGCATGGTCCACTCATGGAAGAGATCCTGGCATCACTGTGGGGAGTTCTCTGAAAACATCCATTCAATGTGCAGTGGCCGTCAAAAAAGTGAACAGAATGTTGGGAATCATCGAGAAAGAGTGAGATAATAAGACAGAAAATATCCTATTGCCTCTGTATAAATCCACGGTACGCCCACATCTTGAATACTGCGTGCAGATGTGATCGCCCCATCTCAAAAAAGGTATATTGGAAGGTTCAGAAAATGATTAGGGGTATAGAACAGCTTCCGTATGAGGAGAGATTAATAAGACTGGGACTTTTCAGCTTAGAAAAGAGGCGACTAAGGGGGATATGATAGAGGTCTATAAAATCATGACTGGTGTGGAGAAAGTAAATAAGGAAGTGTTATTTACTCCTCATAACACAAGAACAAGGGGCCACCAAATGAAATTAATAGGTAGCAGGTTTAAAACAAACAAAAGAAAGTTTTTTTTCCACACAACACGCTGTCAACCTCTGGAACTCCTTGCCAGAGGGTGTTGTGAAGGCCAAGACTATAAGGGGGTTCAAAAGGGAGCTAGATAGATTCATGGAGGACAGGTCCATCAATGGCTATTAGCCAGGATGGGCAGGGATGGTGTCCTTAGCCTCTGTTTGCCAGAAGCTGGGATTGGGTGACGGGATGGATCACTTGATGATTACCCATCCTGTTCATTCCCTCTGGGGCACCTGGCACTGGCCACTGTCAGCAGACAGGATACTGGGCTGGATGGACCTTTGGTCTGACCCAGTCTGGCCATTCTTATGTTCTTAATCACCAAGTGATCCATGCCCTGTCGGCCATTCCCAGCTTCTGGCAAACACAGGCTAGGGACACTAGCCCTAATAAATCAATTCATAGGAACTGACTCTGTGGGTGCTCTGTGGTTGGAACACGCATGGGGAAAAAACAGTGGGTGCGGAACACCCACTGGCAGCCCCGCATCAGTTCCCCCCAGCACCTCCCCCCCTGCCGGCGGGCCCCTAGATCAGTGCCCCCGCTCCCTCCCAGCGCCTCCCACCTGCCGCAAACAGCTGTTTTGTAGTGTTCTGGGAGGCTGGGAGGGAGGGGGGGAGGAGTGGGGACACCATGAGCTCCAAGGCGGGGGCAGAACTGGGAGGGAAGATGCGGGGTGGGGGCAGAAAGAGGCAGGATGGGGGTGAGGCCTTAGGGGAAGGGGTGGAGTGGGGGGCGGTGCCTGGGGCAGAGCCAGGGGTCGAGCACCCCCCAGCAGTTTGAAAAGTCGGCACCAATGAATCAATTAAAATATAATCCTTACATTTCACTGTATAGTATATAGAGCAGTAGAAGAGTCATTGTATGAAATTCTAGTTTGTACTGACTTCCCTAGTGTTTTTATGTATCCTGCTGTAAAACTAGGCAAATATCTAGATGAGTTGATGTACCCCCATGGAAGACCTCTGTGTACCTTCAGGCGTACATGCACGCCTGGTTGAGAACCACTGCTGTAATGCATCTCAGCCCTTCTAGAGGAGACATGATTCCCTCCTGCTATGGAAACACTGCCCCAGCCTCTCTACTGGCCCTTTCATGGCAGATGCTGATGAAGGTTCTCTGAATACATGAGAAATACTCATCTGAAGGAAATAACCCACCTGGGAGCAGGTGAAGGTTCAGATGGGCCACCCCCACTCTGATGGGGGTCCTTCCAGCTCAGTGGCCTGACTCCAGCTGGGCCCAACCCCAATGCTTCGGAAAAAGCTGAGCACCGTCCACAATGCACCTGGCCAGTTGTGAAGCTATTACCCCCTGACTCCCTCTGATAATCAGAGTATGTTCTCAAGTCATAAACAGGGTGACCCTGCACATGCATCCCAGCTAAACACCTTGATCCCAGTAAGGAGATTAATCAGCACTTTGGAAATCCAGACTCGGCCCTTAACGCCATGATGTCCTGTAGCAATGAGTTCCACAGGTCGATTATAAATGGCATAAAGTATTATTTATTTTTATTGGCACTATACATAATATTTCAGAGTAGCAGTCATGTTAGTCTGTATTTGCAAAAACAAAAGGAGTACTTGTGGCACCTTAGAGACTAACCAATTTATTTGAGCATGAGCTTTCGTGAGCTACAGCTCTGCAAAAACAAAAGGAGGACTTGTGGCACCTTAGAGACTAACCAATTTATTTGAGCATAAACTTTCGTGAGCTGGGAGTATGGACCTGAGAGGAAGCAGCTGGATGGGGTTTTCCTGGGCACAGAGCTTGCTGGAGTTGCAGACTTGGGGATGTCTGAGCTAGTGCTTGCTGTCATTCAATCCTACTGTGCCCAGGGGAGCAGGACTGTGTGTGCTGTAGCAGGGCAGCCACCAACAGAGGGCTCTCTTGTGGTGTGGGCAAGCTGTCCCTACCTCAATTTCCCTCTGCTGGAGTCCCCGTAATTCCATGACACAGCACATGCCACATGCCAGCATCTTCCACCACACTCAGGCTCTTCCTCAGTCCTCTTCTGTCCCTGCCATCCCTTCCCCTGGCGTACCAGCGTGCTCCTCCAGCGGGACCCTCCCAGCCTCTCTGCTGGGAGATCAGTTCCCCTGCGCAGGTCCTCTGGCTCCAGCTGTCCACCATAGAGACATGGAAGGGGGGTGGGGTAGCCTGCTCTGCTACATCCCTGCCTCTGTCCAGCCCACCCCTCTGCTGCCTTCAGCCCGCCCCTCAGAGATGGCCTTTATCTCTGTCTCCCTAAGCCCTTGCAGTGCCAAGTGCTGCCCTGCCCTCTGAACTGACCAAAGGGGCGGGGCACGGGTCCTGGCACAGGGGCGCTGAACCTGCCTTCTATCCAGGCCAGCCAGGGTCTCCTGTGACTGCGGGACCTATTTCCAATCCTCCGTCTGTTCACGCCTCCGGGCAAAGTTCCTCTGGGCGGCTTCCACTGACTCCCTTGATGCCTTTGAGGAGCAGTGGGCGCTGTCCAGGGTTCTCTGCTCGGTGTCCCCTTCCGGTTCCCTTCGTTTGACCCTTTGACCACACTCCTGTCCCTGTTATTTCATTAGTTGTCCCCCGGAATCATTTGATTTTCGGGTCCTGTGGATCCTCCCCTTAGGCTGGGGGGGGGTCCTTTAGCAGTGGGCGGGCTTTCGCCCACCCACTTCCCAGATCCCAGTAGGATCCAGGCCAGCCACCCTGGGCCAAGGCCATTCTTTGTGAGCAACTAGCCAAAGAAACTCGTGATGTGCATCCTCCCTTCCTCTTCCTCCTGCAGCGACCGGCCAGGCCTCACTTCCTGGCTAAAAGGGGCAGCAGCCGCTGCCACCATCTCCGGGCCTAAGAAAAGATCAAAGGTGGCATTCACAATGGGAATTAGGCGCCTCTTCCCATGGGAGTTGGGCACCTACGAGCCTTCTTGATTCCCTCAACTCTGCATGATGTCAAGTATCATAGGGGTAGTTGCGTTTGTCTGTATTCATAAAAACAATGAGGATTACGGTGGCACCTTAAAGACTAACAAATTTATTTGGGCCTAAGCAATTTCCCCTCTCTTGGAATTGACACCTTCCTCATCAATTATTGGGAGTGGACTGAATTGACCCTGTCCGCATGGGTTCTCCACTGGTGAGGTACCTCCCTTCTCTTCATGTGCCAGTATCTATCTATGCCTGGATCTGTCATTTTCACTCCATGCATCTGAAGAAGTGGTTTTTTTACCCATGAAAGCTTATGCCCAAATAAATCTTTAAGGTGCCAGCAGACTCCTCATTGTTTTTCCTCAACTCTGAGCCACTTAGCCAAATCCCCTCCAGCTCTTCTCTGGAGGTGACACAACCTTGTTGGGGCCCTCTCCTCACACGGGGGCAGCCTCTCCTCTGCCCCTTGGCAATCTCCCATGTTGTGGAAACCAGAGCTGTCCCTGGTGCCTGGTGGGGGAATCAGCCTGTCTCAGCACTTGCTAGGTTGGCATCTGCCACACCAAGGGCTCAGCCCTACACCTCCTGGGGACGGACACTAGAGACTGTCAAGGGGTTAAAGCCAGGCCTGGGCTGGCATCTGGCTAATCATACGCCCTGCTAATACCCGCTCAGTTTAGCCTCGGGCACAAGCAGCCGCTTTCCACTTCCTCGCATGCAGCACCAGCACCCCCATGACCCCAACGCCCACCCTCTGGCCCCAAGTGCCCATTCCTGCAGGACTGGGCTGGGCAATCCCCCTCCAGGGTCAGCAGCTCGGCCCGAAAACCAGTTCTCTGGGGGACCCAGAACAAAGAAACCCTGAGATGGGCTGGCAGATGGAGGTCTTGGGCTGCACCCCAGCCCCTGCCCTGGGACAGCACAACCAGCCAGTGCGAGGTCCAGGACAGGGCTGTCAAAGCAAAGGTGCTCTGAAGGAAACCGCACCACAAGAAGCGCAAGGAGAGAGGGAATAACAGGTATAAATGGGGCTGTTATTCCCACAACATCATGACAATATGCACTGAAGTGGGCGGGGCAACTGCAGGGACCAGGGCTCAGGACTCCTGGGTTCTCCATGCAGCTACATCCCGGACACACTAAAGGACCCTGGGGCTAGTCCCTGCTCTGCAGTGGCCCATCTGGCTGGGGTGGGGGCCACTGGAGGGTGCTGGCTCAAAACGCATGGTGCTGGGAGGATTAGGCAGTGCCAACTGTACGGCAGAACAATTTGCTCATCACTAACACCTCAGTGGGGAGGGGCAGTGTGCACCCCACACTGCGAGGCAAGGCCCTGGCTGCCTGGCACCCGGATCTCCCGGGGTTGTCACTCCCTTGAGGACAGAGGGTCACTGATTCCCACGGGCTCCCTGCTCCCAGGCCTATGTCCATCGGCTCTCTGGCTCCCCACACTCCTCCAGACAGCAGCTGCTGCGGTCCCAAGCCCTGCCCCCAGCCAGCCTGACCCCTGGTGCTCTGCCCACGGCTCCTTTGGGGCTGCCAGCTTATCTCCCCAAGGACAGCAGGGTGGAAAATTGGCTCCTGTCCCTTTCTGAGCTGCCTCCTGGCAAGAGTATATAAAGGGCTGCTGACCCTGCTTGGTCTCCACGACCCATGTAAGAAGCAGAATGGCTTTCCTCTGGCTCCTGCCCTGCCTCGCCTTCCTGGGCGCTGCCCATGGTAAGTGCCACCCGGCCTCCTTCGACTGCCAGCAGGGGCTGGAAGGCCCAGAGCCGGGAAGGGTCTCTCTGCCACAGGGAGCTCCCGAGAAGACGCAGGTGACGGTGGCCCCAGCCCTGTCGCTACTCCCGCGGCTGGAGAGACACTGCTGATGGGGCAGATGGATGCGGCCAATGCCATGCTGTGCTTGACAGCACTCGGGGCCCCCCCAGTCCATCCTCCCCCCATGGTGGCAGTACAGCCCTGGCGGATGCCCCCAGGTGAATTGGAGTGGGCAGTGCATGCCCATGGCTGTAGCAAGGTCCCCCAGCCACTGACCGATCCCCCAGCTACTGCCCCACTGCTGGGGTGCCCCACGGAGCAGCCTGGGCCCTAGCGCTGTGCTCCCTCCCCACTGGACACCAGGAGCTGTGGTCAACTCCTCTCCTTCCCTCCTGCAGGCTGCGGCCTCCCTGCCATCCAACCTGTCATCAGCGGTTATGCACGAATCGTGAACGGCGAGACGGCGGTTCCTGGATCCTGGCCCTGGCAGGTCTCCCTGCAGGTGAGAGCCCAGCAACCCCTTCGGCCAGGCAGGGACCCCCGTGGGGAGCAAAGCTGGGGGGAAAGGCAGGAGGGGCCTGGCCCTTAGAGAACCCGGAGAGGTGGGGATGTGATTTCATGGTGTCCCAGGGCAGCTAGGCAGTGTCTCAGTGCTACTGGGGATTCATCTGACAGGGCCAGCACATAGAATCATAGAATCATAGAATATAAGGGTTGGAAGGGACCCCAGAAGGTCATCTAGTCCAACCCCCTGCTCGAAGCAGGACCAATTCCCAGTTAAATCATCCCAGCCAGGGCTTTGTCAAGCCTGACCTTAAAAACCTCTAAGGAAGGAGATTCTACCACCTCCCTAGGTAACGCATTCCAGTGTTTCACCACCCTCTTAGTGAAAAAGCTTTTCCTAATATCCAATCTAAACCTCCCCCACTGCAGCTTGAGACCATTACTCCTCGTTCTGTCATCTGCTACCATTGAGAACAGTCTAGAGCCATCCTCTTTGGAACCCCCTTTCAGGTAGTTGAAAGCAGCTATCAAATCCCCCCTCATTCTTCTCTTCTGCAGGCTAAACAATCCCAGCTCCCTCAGCCTCTCCTCATAACTCATGTGTTCCAGACCCCTAATCATTTTTGTTGCCCTTCGCTGGACTCTCTCCAATTTATCCACATCCTTCTTGAAGTGTGGGGCCCAAAACTGGACACAGTACTCCAGATGAGGCCTCACCAATGTCGAATAGAGGGGAACGATCACATCCCTCGATCTGCTCGCTATGCCCCTACTTATACATCCCAAAATGCCATTGGCCTTCTTGGCAACAAGGGCACACTGCTGACTCATATCCAGCTTCTCGTCCACTGTCACCCCTAGGTCCTTTTCCGCAGAACTGCTGCCTAGCCATTCGGTCCCTAGTCTGTAGCTGTGCATTGGGTTCTTCCGTCCTAAGTGCAGGACCCTGCACTTATCCTTATTGAACCTCATCAGATTTCTTTTGGCCCAATCCTCCAATTTGTCTAGGTCTTTCTGTATCCTATCCCTCCCCTCCAGCGTATCTACCACTCCTCCCAGTTTAGTATCATCCGCAAATTTGCTGAGAGTGCAATCCACACCATCCTCCAGATCATTTATGAAGATATTGAACAAAACCGGCCCCAGGACCGACCCTTGGGGCACTCCACTTGATACCGGCTGCCAACTAGACATGGAGCCATTGATAACTACCCGTTGAGCCCGACAATCTAGCCAGCTTTCTACCCACCTTGTAGTGCATTCATCCAGCCCATACTTCCTTAACTTGCTGACAAGAATACTGTGGGAGACCGTGTCAAAAGCTTTGCTAAAGTCAAGAAACAATACATCCACTGCTTTCCCTTCATCCACAGAACCAGTAATCTCATCATAAAAGGCAATTAGATTAGTCAGGCATGACCTTCCCTTGGTGAATCCATGCTGGCTGTTCCTGATCACTTTCCTCTCATGCAAGTGCTTCAGGATTGATTCTTTGAGGACCTGCTCCATGATTTTTCCAGGGACTGAAGTGAGGCTGACTGGCCTGTAGTTCCCAGGATCCTCCTTCTTCCCTTTTTTAAAGATTGGCACTACATTAGCCTTTTTCCAGTCATCCGGGACTTCCCCAGTTCGCCACGAGTTTTCAAAGATAATGGCCAATGGCTCTGCAATCACAGCCGCCAGTTCCTTCAGCACTCTCGGGTGCAACTCGTCCGGCCCCATGGACTTGTGCACGTCCAGCTTTTCTAAATAGTCCCTAACCACCTCTTTCTCCACAGAGGGCTGTCCATCTCTTCCCCATTTTGTGATGCCCAGCGTAGCAGTCTGGGAGCTAACCTTGTTAGTGAAAACAGAGGCAAAAAAAGCATTGAGTACATTAGCTTTTTCCACATCCTCTGTCACTAGGTTGCCTCCCTCATTCAGTAAGGGGCCCACACATTCCTTGGCTTTCTTCTTGTTGCCAACATACCTGAAGAAACCCTTCTTGTTACTCTTGACATCTCTGGCTAGCTGAGGCTCCAGGTGCGATTTGGCCCTCCTGATAACATTCCTACATGCCCGAGCAATATTTTTATACTCTTCCCTGGTCATATGTCCAACCTTCCACTTCTTGTAAGCTTCTTTTTTATGTTTAAGATCCGCTAAGATTTCACCATTAAGCCAAGCTGGTCGCCTGCCATATTTACTATTCTTTCGACTCATCGGGATGGTTTGTCCCTGTAACCTCAACAGGGATTCCTTGAAATACAGCCAGCTCTCCTGGACTCCTTTCCCCTTCAAGTTAGTCCCCCAGGGGATCCTGGCCATCCGTTCCCTGAGGGAGTCGAAGTCTGCTTTCCTGAAGTCCAGGGTCCGTATCGTGCTGCTTACCTTTCTTCCCTGTGTCAGGATCCTGAACTCAACCAACTCATGGTCACTGCCTCCCAGATTCCCATCCATGCCCATCATCTTGGCATCTGGGCCCCCAGCTGCTCCCTGCAGCACCAGCCTCCACGTTCTGTGTGCGTTTCCCAGCAGCACTGGCTGTCCCTAGCTGCTTAGATTGGCTCCAGTGTGTAGATGGATTCCCAGCCTCCCTGCCCCCCATCGGTGCCTGCTCTACTGTGGAACAAGGGCCTGTTACCCGACAGGGGCAGCGCTGCCCAAGATAGTGGGATGAACTGACCTTGCCTCTCTGCCACTCCAAGGGCACCTGCCAGGACCCTTCCCCCAGCCCTGCTCCCAGAGCCCCTCAGCTCCAGCACCCAGGATCTGGTGGGAACCCTTCCCCTGCCCCAAGTTCCCTTCTCTCCTGCCACTCCCAGCCCCTGCCGGGCATCGCACACCCTGGCTCCCTTCCAAGCACACAGGCTCGGCAGAGATCCCTGCGAGGTGGGGCAGGCCTGCCCCTGCTGCAATCTGTGTCTGGCAGAGCCTGGCAAAGGGGGCAGAGGGCACTGGCTGCTAGGAAGGGGCGCCTGCTTCCCAGGGATGGGTCTCAGCCAGCTGCTCCCCCTTATTTTGATGCTCTGGCCCCGATTCCCCTCCCTTAGTTCCTGGCAGCCCCCTCCAGACAGCAGCGGGGGTTCCTGGCACGTGGCCATGGTAGGCCAGCTCAAACACTGCCTGCTCTCCCCCTCCCCACAGGACAACACCGGCTTCCATTTCTGCGGCGGCTCCCTGATTAGCGAGAACTGGGTGGTCACGGCTGCCCACTGCAGAGTCAGGTAGGAACCTAGGTGGGAGCCACGGGGCGCCAAGGCCCTAGGTTTACCAACTTTCTAATTGCACAAAACCGAACTTCCTTGCCCCTTTCCCGAGGCCCTGAGCCTTCTCACTCCAGCCCCCCTCCCTCAGTCGCTCGCTCTCTCCCACCCTAACTCACTTTCACCGAGCTGGGGTAGGGGGCTGGGGTATGGGAGGGCTCCGGCTGAGGGTGCGAGCTCTGGGGTGGGGCTTGGTAAGAGGGGTTTGTGGTGCACGAGGGGCTCCAGGCTGGGGGAGGGGGTTGTGATGCAGGTGGGGCTGTGGGCTCCTGGAGGGGGCTCAGGGCTGGGGCAGAGGGTTGGGGTGCAGGTGAGGGGTGTAGGGTCTTGGAGGCAGTTAGGGTGCAGGAGGGGGTTCTAACCTGGGGCAAGGGGTTCGCGGTGCAGGAGGGGGTTCAGGGGTCGGGTTCAGCAGCGCTTACCTCAGGCGGCTCCAGTCGGTGGTGCAGCGGGGCCAAGGCAGGGTTCCTGCTTGCCCTGGCAGTGGCTCCATGCTGCTCCCAGAAGCAGTCAGACTAGACTGAGGCGCGTTGCCCAAGCCTGCAGGCACCGCCCCTGCAGCTCCCATTGGCTGTGGATCCCAGAGCTTCCCTGATTGCCCCTGCGCCTAGGGGCCGCGGGACATGTTGCCGCATCTGGGAGCCATATGGTACCAGGTCAGGCAGGGAGCCTGCCTTAGCTCTGCTGCGCCACCGACCAGACTTTTAACAGGTCAGTCAGCGGTGCAGACCAGAGTCACCAGGGTCCCTTTTCAACCGGGCGTTCCAGTAAAAAAACGGACGCCTGGCAACCCTGCAAGAACCAGGCACTAGCGTTGGACAGGTGGGCGAGGGGACGCAGAGGGGATGGATGTGCCACCTGCACTGAGCTGTCCTGGCAGATACTGCTGGGGATGGGGCCCAGGCATCAGTGTCCTGATGAAGGGAGCTCCGCTCAGGGCACACATCCCCAGCTGCTTGTTTCAGCCCTGCAATCCCCAGAGCCTAAGCCAGCTCCAGGGGCTCCCACTGCCCTGCCATACCCCTGCCACGCTTCCTGGGCATAGATCCCCCCGCACCAGGCCTGGGCAGTGCCTGGGGGAGGGGACAGAAGGTGCTGCAGGGAGCCAGGCCTGCCCCACCATTCCCTATACTCGGGGCTTCCTTTTCTTCCCCCTGCAGCACCAGTGACCGTGTGGTTCTGGGGGAATTTGACCAAGGCTCTCCGGCCGAGGATGTGCAAGTCCTGCAGATCGCCCAGGTAGGGGGCTGGCCGGCACAGGGTCCCCTCGGGGGCTGCACACATCCTCCCTCCATGGGCCTGGGACACCGGGCCCCCAGTGAGCCTTCGTGCCCACCTCAACCCCTGGTACACTCACAGGTCAGCCTGGGCCATGTCTCACGCGCAGAGCTCCTCAGGGTCCTGCAGGGAGTGGTCGCGGTCTCTGGGGAGTCCGGCTGGAGTGGGGTGGATGCGGCCTACATGGGTCCTGCTGTGGGGTGGATGAGATTTCGGTGGGGTCTCCGACAGGTGCTGGATGTGGTCTAGACTCCACTGTCTCCTGTGGCAGGTTTTCAAGAACCCCAGTTTCAGCATGTTAACCGTGAAGAATGACATCACCCTGCTGAAGCTGGCCTCCCCAGCCAAGCTGACAGCCCGCGTGTCCCCCGTGTGTCTGCCCGAGGCTACCGATGACTTCCCCGGAGGCCTGACCTGCGTGACCACGGGCTGGGGCCTGACTGATCCCAAGGGTAAAGTCTCCGGGTCTCTGCACCGCTCTGGCCGCTTGGAGGACAGACTCCTGGAGTGCCAAGGGGAACTCAACTTAGCCAACTGATCTGACTGCCATCCCCTCACCTCAGTCCCCCGCCCCCTGACCTTCCCGGGCACATACTGCACTAGGAAAGGGGGCCCTGCTCAGGACCCCCAGCTCTGGGCAGCCTTCTGCCCCTTCCGGCTAGAGTTCCAGGTCCTGTCTCTCTCCCTGTCCCAGGCCAAACCCAGAAAACTTGGCTGGAAGGCCCCCCCAGGGGTCCCCACCTGACGGGCACAGCTACCCTGTGCGTGCCCCAGGAGGGCAGGGGCAGCTGGGGCCTTTTCTCTGCAGAGGGGCCCCGGGGGGAGCTCTCCAGGCCCCTCCCTCTCTGTTGGGGTCCCAGTGCCAGGCGAGGCCATGGGGCTGTAGTGCCAGGGATCGGGAGCTGCCCCATGGTGCCCAGCTGACGCCGTCTCCTGCCTGCCTTTGTTTTCCAGCTCAGAACACCCCAGACAAGCTGCAGCAGGTGGCCCTGCCCCTGCTGACCAACACGCAGTGCAAGACCTACTGGGGCTTCAGGATCGCGGACGTCATGATCTGCGCGGGCGCTGCTGGAGCCTCCTCCTGCATGGTACCCAGCTCTGCAGCGCCGCGGCCCCCTGTGTCCACCTGTCTGGCCACACATCGCTCCTAGTGCTGGCACAGATCCCCAGGGGCCATGCTGTGGCCCCCACTTTACACCAGTCTCTAGAGAGAACCCCTGCAATGTGCCAGACCTCCGGGGGTCTCACTCTCCCTCCGGGTTAGAGCACGGCCTCACCGCCTCCTTAGGCTGGCCTTCAGCTCCCCTGCCTCACACCGCGAGGCCCACTGTGCCAGCACCCTGCCCAGATGCAGGGACCCCCACTGTTCGGGCGGCACCTCACCTCCAGACAAGAGGCCTGACTCCTTCTAGCAGCCAGTTCTTCTCTTATGCCTTCCAGGCCGGGGTTTGGCAGCCGGGTATCCTTGCCCAGCTTCCCTGCCAGAGACGGGCAATCCCTTATTCACTGGCTGTCAGAGCCCTGTGATTGAGTTTCCTGTTGTCTTCTCAGACACCCCATTGATATGGGGACTCAGGCCCAGATAGCTAGTACCACTTGTCTCTTCACCTGCCTTGAGAACAAACAGTTCTTTTCCACCCCACTGGGTAACAATGCAGCAAAGTGGGGAAACTGAGGCACACACCAGCTTCCTAAAAATAGCCTAGAAAATTCCCACTTCACCACAGCCACCACCGAGACGACTGTCCTTCTGGCCACCTCCCCCTTCAGCTATCCCTGCCTGTCTGTAACCCCATCCCTACAGCTGTCTACATAGCCCTCCTTTGTCCACCCCTGGCTCCATGCAGCCAGGCTTCTGCACAATTGGGACATCTGCCTCAGTTTCCCCTTCCATCGCCCCTAGACAGGAATACAGTGTCTCAGTGTGCAGTTCAAGACCTACCTCCAGGCATGGTGTATTCGTGTACACGTTCAGGAACATGCAGAACCCTCATGGTAAAACTGGTCTGCCCAAACCCCCGAAGGACAGTCACAACTGCTTTCCAAGGAGCGTATCCAGCCTGTTCCCAGCTCTTTGCCCCTGCTCCAGGCTCTACTCTCCAGCCATGCCCCTGAGGGCCCCCAGATTCACTCTTCCCCTGGAGCCCCCAGTCTGGTCTCCTGGGAGAGGGCTCCCCGCGGTATCCCACTGCACGGGTCTTTTCGCTTGCAGTCCTACCCTAGATCCCCCATCCAGCACCAATCCTCTTGGTTCAGGCTCAGTGCCCCCTAACCAGCCCGGTTCTTCCCCTTGTTCCTAGGGGTCTCAGCACAACAGCTCCCAAAACTCCACTGGGCTCCCCAGCTCTGGGCCGTTCTCCCCAACAATGGCTTGCACCTTTAGCTAGTCCCACCCTCTCTGTGATGTGATCTACCTCTGCCCCCTACCTCTCTCCTTGTCCTCCCCCGGCCCCTTTCTTAAGCCCACCCGGGAGGCAGCTGACCAGTCACAGGGGGCATGGGCCTCTTCTCTCTTAAAGGGCCAGTCTCCCTACGACACCCCTTGTTTCTCTGCCCGCGATCCCCGCTCCCCATAGCTCTCCCCAGCCCTGGGACCCGCAGTGGATACACAGGGCCCCATCCAGACAAGTGCAGACTCGTTTGCATTCGGGGAACAGCCGGTGGATGAGCAGGTCCCCCTCGCTTTGCGACCCCCTAGAAGGAGACGCCCCCCCAACCTGCTGCTGCTGCTTCTCCTTGCAGGGCGACTCCGGCGGCCCCCTGGTGTGCCAGCAGGACGGCGCCTGGACCCTGGTGGGGATCGTCTCCTGGGGAAGCAGCACCTGCTCCCCCTCCACGCCCGGCGTTTACGCCCGCGTCACCAAGCTCAGGGCCTGGATCGACCAGACCATCGCGGCCAATTAACGCAGCAGCACGTTCCCAGCGTGACGGGTCAATAAAGACACATTAGAGACCAGCTGTGCCCGTGCCCATGCCCTGCAGTCCTTGGCTCCTGGGCCGCGACAGGGCTCATGGGAGGGGAGAAAGCTGGGGCAGTGGGGACCCCCTGGCCTCGTCTGCTCTCGCCCCCGGCCTGGGGGAGTTTGTCCTTGTAGCCCACTGTCCCTGGGGCTCTCCGAAGGCCCTACAAGTTCTGCGGGACGCTGTGGGTTGGGCGCCCCGAGGCGGGCCAGGGGAGGGCTGTCATGCCAGGCGGCACCAGCGGCCTTCCCCCGAGCCAACCCCACCGCCTCCCTTGCGGGCAGGAGACTGCCCCTGCCCAGCCCTCGCTGCCCCGGCTCTGCCGATCGGCGCCACCTTAATAGTCGGTTCCGCCTTAACATGGACGGGGCGGGGCCAGTGGGGAGGCTGGTTTCGTTTTGGGGAGCAGCGGGGCCCGCCCTGCGGGCACTGGGAGGCTGAGCCCGGCGCGCCCGACAGCCGGGGCCGGCCCCTGCCCCTGCCCCTGCGCGCCCCATGGCTCTGCAGAGGCTGTGTCGCGGCAGCGGGGCGCTCGGCTGCAGGAGGAGCTCCGGCCTGCAGGTACTGGCAGGAGGCCAGCTGGGCCCTGCCCATTGCCAGCGTTTCGGGCCTGGTGTGACCTTGCCGGGGGCGGCTCCGACCCAGCTCCCCGCAGGGCAGGGCTGAGCTAGATCCATCCTCTTTGAACCCCCTTTCAGGTAGTTGAAAGCAGCTATCAAATCCCCCCTCATTCTTCTCTTCTGCAGGCTAAACAATCCCAGCTCCCTCAGCCTCTCCTCATAACTCATGTGTTCCAGACCCCTAATCATTTTGGTTGCCCTTCGCTGGACTCTCTCCAATTTATCCACATCCTTCTTGAAGTGTGGGGCCCAAAACTGGACACAGTACTCCAGATGAGGCCTCACCAATGTCGAATAGAGGGGAACGATCACGTCCCTCGATCTGCTCGCTGTGCCCCTACTTATACATCCCAAAATGCCATTGGCCTTCTTGGCAACAAGGGCACCCTGCTGACTCATATCCAGCTTCTCGTCCACTGTCACCCCTAGGTCCTTTTCCGCAGAACTGCTGCCTAGCCATTCGGTCCCTAGTCTGTAGCTGTGCATTGGGTTCTTCCATCCTAAGTGCAGGACCCTGCACTTATCCACGTGCCTGCTTGGACCCTGGCCGGCGGCCATAGATGTAGTTTGTAGTTTGACTTCTATATTGGGGGGGGAGGGCTGGACACCGAACTTTCCTCTGCCCCCTTTAAATTGTGCCCCCCATTGACATATACAGTTTGGGGTGGCATGGGGGGTGTTGGGCATCTCCACCCATGGGCATCTCCACCCATGCTGGGGGTCTGGAGTCTCCGCCAGCCACGTTCTGGCCAGGGCAGCTGCATCCAGCACTTTTGTTTGAATAGCCAATTCCAGCACTGGCTTGAGAGCTGCTCACTGAGCCCCCATCACCCCCGGCCAGTCCTGCTCGCCCCACCACCTCCCCAGGGCACCTCCCGCCTGACCCACAAGGGCCACATCTAAGGGTGGAAGTTTGCTCTCTATGGGGCCCGCTACCAGGACCCCTGACATGATGCCACCTGATCCCATCTCACAGAGTCCGTCGCCGCCCGCAAGGCTGGATTTGACCCGCACAGGCTGTTATCAGCCCTGGAGCTCACCTGGCCCAGGATGGGGAGGGCAGGAAGGACACCAAGCCAGCCCTGTGAAGGTGGCTCCTGGGCCCAGGAACCCTCACTGCAACGGGCTGCGACCTACCCACACCCAGACCCTGCCCTCCCGCCACGCCCCCAGCACTGGGCAGAAGGGGGGGATTTGGGGACATTAGTGATGAACCTCTGGTGAGTTTCAGAGGAAAGGGAAGGACTCACACCCCAAGTGAGTGGTCAGCAGGGGAGCAATGTCAAACCACTGACAAAGGCAGCCCCCAGGAGGGGAGAAACCCAGGGAGCGTTGGGGGGCTCCAAAACCCGCCTCCCTAGGCCAGGAACGTGTGTGCCAAGGGGCAAGGGGGTGTCTGGGCCAGGGGGCAGACTCAGCAAAGTGGGGCTCTGCTCCAAGAAGCGGCAGTGGATCCTGCACGGGAGCCGCTGATTAGAACGTCGGGCTAAGATCTGGTGCGGAAGGAACGCTCCCTCACTCCCCTGAGGTTGGGCTGGCCCTGCAGGTAAAACACAGCAAACACCTGAGCCGTTACACTCCGCAGCTCTGGCTCCAACTCTGTGAACTCTGCTGCGTCAGGAGGAGCCATTGTCCCATCGACGCTTTGCCGAGTGGAGACCCCCTGACCGAATATTGGGCAGCTCTTCACCTGACTTTAATTCATGCTCATTTAGAAAGCGCTCATTTGCACGGAGCAGCATCACATTACTGCAGGGCGAGAGGTGGCCAGAAATTAAGGAGTTGTGGGGGGAGGGATACCTCAGTGGTTTGAGCATTGGCCTGCTAAACCCAGGGTTGTGAGTTCAATCCTTGAGGGGGCCATTTAGGGATCTGGGACAAAAATTGGGGATTGGCCCTGCTTTGAGCAGGGGGTTGGACTAGATGACCTCCTGAGGTCCCTTCCAACCCTGATATTCTATGAACTTGGCTGCTAAGACCAGGATCTTATGTGTCTTCCGAGAGTCTCTGGTGATGCTCACAGCCAGCCTGCACCTCAGGCCAGGGGCGTATGAGCCTCTCTCCACCTGAGTCCTATTCTGCCCTAACGCAGCCTTCCTTCGGGGCCTTGTGGTTTCTAGAGGTCCAGCATTTCCCCAGCTCCCTGAAGGCCAGGCCTTGGCTCCACAGGGAGGAGTCGTTTCAGACCCAGTTGCAACCCCCCCAACCATAATCTCCTCGGATTGTTTGGAAGTGTTGCACTAAGATTTCCTTCCTTCAGATTTCCTTTCCACGCCCCTGGATTTGGGTCAGAAAGAGCTGACCAGAGGCCCTGCAGGGCCAATGAGGCGAAACCAGGCACCTGTGATCTCCAGGGCCAATAATGTTGTAAACAGCTGAACTGCACCCCTTAGCCAACCCATCTCTTGCCAGGGGCCCTTCTCTTTCACACACCCAGACAAATCTGTAGTGGTGGCAAAACCTCTGGAGGAGCTCAAGGAAGGCAGGTCTCTGCGTTTGGCTCCTGTGCTCCAGGTCCCTGTGCATGCCGGAGCCTGGCATCCCTGCGCAGCGCTGGATCAGCTTGGCTGGGGCCATCCTTGCTGAAGGGCGGCACTGGGAGGGGGAGGGGATTGAAAGGAAATCTCCAGCCCTTTTGACACTGAAGACACAGTACATATCTGTGTCTGTGACAGACCTCTTAAGGCAATGATAGATGATGGGAGGGACTTTCCCGCGTAGCTCCACCCCGCTGCCCATCATGTCTTAGAATCATAGAATATCAGGGTTGGAAGGGACCTCAGGAGGTCATCTAGTCCAACCCCCTGTTCAAAGCAGGACCAATCCCCAATTTTTGCCCCAGATCCCTAAATGGCCCCCTCAAGGATTGAACTCACGACCCTGGGTTTAGCAGGCCAATGCTCAGACCACTGAGCTATCCCTCCCCCATCCTGGAGCAGCCAAGCCCCCATCCCAGCACGAGCCCCATGTCCTGTGCCCTTCATCCCTGGGGAGAGACGGGTGGCTGTGGTTAGGTGCCCATCTCCCTGCACAGCTTTGGGGTTTGCCCACACGCTTCGAGCTCGTGCCTGGGAGCTCTGCCGCCGCCTGGAGAAAGGGAGTGTTTCGGCAGGTGCTTGTAACACGCTGGCCCTTTAACTCTCTCTAGGGCCAGCTGCCGGGGAAGCTGGTGGAGGCCCTGCGAGCCGTGGTGGGGACCCCGAATGTGTCCACAGCCCTGGCTGCCCGGGAGCAGCACGGGAGGGATGAATCCATGCACAGGTACCTGCGGAGCTCCCAGCACACGCCACACACTCACCAGAGGCTGGCTCATACAGCCAGTGCAGACCGGGGAGCCTGCTAGAGCCTCGCTGACCCAGGCCTTGGGGCTCTCTGAGGGGCTGTGAAGGGCCTCTGCTGGCTTGGCTCCCTCATGCCCTGGGAGGAGCCCATCCCCCTGGAGGGACTGTGACGTGTGTGCAGCACCCATCGCGATCCAGGGAGACGCAGTGACATGGCCACGGGAAGGACAGCGCTCCAGGGACGGGCTCCGGACCCCAGCAGCTGTTGGGGTGCATAGGCATAGCTGTCCCATTGCTGCTGCAGGAGTGCCCCCCGTGCCCAGCACGGCCACAGCGGGTGCAGCCCCACCCGGTGCCCAGGGCTGCGCCAAACTGTTGCCTCCAAGGCGCCGCTGAAATCCCAGTTTCTCTCACCATGCCCTGCCAGCTGGGGCAGATGGGCCCTGGTGCTGAGCCCTCTAGCATCCTCTGGATCAGTGTGTGGGAGCCAACCTGTGGGGCCAGAGGCCAGTGCCCTGCTCAGCCCTCAAAGCCCCTCTTCCCCTGGCTCATCCAGGCCTTGTCTGCCCCACCCAGCCTGGCTCACGGCTGGCTCCCTGCTGTGTTCCCAGCCCAAGTGGAGCTGCACACGCTGTGCGCAGAGGCAGCTGGCTCACCCTGCCCCTGGGAGCTGGCATTACATGGGGCTCTCCCCTGCCTGCAGGTGCAGCCCGCCGGATGCTGTGGTCTGGCCCCAGGACTTGGAACAGGTCAGCAAGCTGGCGGGAATCTGCTACAGTCATGGTGTCCCCATCATCCCCTTCAGCACTGGCACGGGCCTGGAGGGCGGCGTCACCGCAGTGAGGGTACGGAGCGGGGGCCCAATGGTGAGGGTATGGAGCAGGGGGGGCAGCGTGGTGAGGGTACGCAGCGGGGGGCAGCGCAGTGAGTGTACGGAGCTGGGGGGGCAGCGCCGTGAGGGTATGGAGCAGGAAGGCAGTGCAGTGAGGGTACAGAACGGGGGGCAGTGCAGTGAGGATACACAGCGGGGGGCAGCGCAGTGAGGATACACAGCAGGGGGCAGTGCAGTGAGGGTACACAGCGGGGGGCAGTGCAGTGAGGATATGGAGCGGGGGCAGCGCAGTGAGGGTACGCAGCGGGGGGGCAGCACAGTGAGGGTACGCAGCGGGGGGGCAGAGCAGTGAGGGTATGGAGCGGGGGCAGTGCAGTGAGGGTACGGAGTGGGGGGGCAGCGCAGTGAGGGTATGGAGCGGGGGGCAGCGCAGTGAGGATACGCAGCGGGGGGCAGCGCAGTGAGGATACGCAGCGGGGGGGCAGTGCAGTGAGGATACGCAGCAGGGGGGCAGCGCAGTGAGGGTATGGAGCGGGGGGGCAGCGCAGTGAGGATACGCAGCGGGGGGGCAGCGCAGTGAGGATACGCAGCGGGGGGCAGCGCAGTGAGCATTCCCTGGCCATAGGGTGTGACAGATCCCATCCCCAGCTGGCATAACCCAGTGGGGCTCCCGTGCAGCTGGCACTCTGTCCACTCATCCAGCTGAGGTGCCAACCCAGACCCTTGCCACCCCACGCACTGGTCCTTTTGCAGGTGAGGCTGGCACAGCGAGTCTTCCCCTCTCGACAAGAGCCAGCCGGCCCAGGCCTTGGCTGCTGCCCCGCTGTCCCGAGCAGGGAAGTCCTTGCAGAGGCCAGTAGGTGCGTGGCCCAGCATGGCTGTTCTGGGGAGGTTCCTCCCAGGCAGGCTCCGCTTCTTCTTGTGCCAGGAGGGCAGCTCTGCGGTGCCCGCGAGTCTTGGGGGATCAGTGCTGGGGGGGCCATGGTGGTTCATCTTCTCCTGGAGCTCTGGCGACTCCCTGGCCGGGCACTGATGCCAGGGCAGCCATGGCGAGATACTACTGGGGCACAGAGCAGGGGAACCCCAGCCTGGCAGTGTCCTGCCCCTGCCCCACCTGCCTATGTGTGTTCAGGTGGTGACCCAGCAGGTCTCAGACCCTTTCCAGGGAGCGCCGTTGGGGCTGTCTCTCATGCCCGCTCCCATCTCTCTGGGCCAGGGCGGCGTGTGTTTTAACCTGACCCGAATGGATCGCATCACAGCGCTCAGCACTGAGGACTTTACTGTGGCTGTGGAGCCGGGGGTGACCCACAAAGCGCTCAACAACTACCTGCGGGACACCGGCCTCTGGTTCCCTGTCGGTATGATGCTGGGCACGGGGTGAGGGGCGTCCTCCAGTGGTGGGGGACGAGCGGTTCCAGCCCCATTCCAGCACATGGCCGATGCCCAGGCCTGCTGCTGGGTTTAATGGTGTCAGAGCAGGAAGCTGGCAGCTGCACTGGGCGACATACCTGGGCGGCAGGCTATCAGTGGGCCGGTTATCTTCACCCCCAGATCCTCCGCCCCAATCCAGCCCAGCGCAGTGGGGCTGGCTGCCGGGAACGGAACAGCTGGGTCGCACTCCAGTGGACGTGCCATGAAAATCAACCCCGCCACAGGACCCTCGTTGGCCCGCTCAGCATGCCGCAGGCCACAGCCCGCCTGGGCCACGGGGTGGGCAGCGCCAGGCAGGGCAATGGGGGCACAGTCTGTGCTGCAGCTGCCCAGGGTGAAGGGCCTGACTCTGACCTGGCCACTCCCTCTACGTCCCCGCGGCCGCGGCGTGCTGGGCTCGGTGCTGGCAGCTGCCAGGGGCTCGGCCTGGACCAGCTTTCAGAGCACCCACGGCACAGCAACTGGGGGCGGGCGGCTTCTGTCTTGGGCCGAGCTCTACCCTGGGTGCGGAGGGGACGGTTCCCCGGGATTCTGGCTCTGCAGTGCCCTGTGACCATTGGCCCCGTCCGCCACTGACCGCCGGCTGTGCCCTTTCCCTCCGCAGACCCCGGCGCTGATGCCTCCCTGTGCGGCATGGCGGCCACCAGCGCCTCGGGCACCAATGCTGTGCGCTACGGCACCATGCGCCACAACGTGCTCAACCTGCAGGTGGTGCTGGCTGATGGCAGGGTGCTGCACACGGCTGGCCAGGGCCGCCACTTCAGGTACTGGGGGCTGCGGGGAAGGGGGGCACCAGGGGGCTTGTCAGGGTTCCCTCCCCACTCTGAACTCTAGGGTACAGGTGTGGGGACCCGCATGAAAGACCCCCTAAGCTTATTTCTACCAGCTTAGGTCAAAACTTCCCCAAGGCACAAACTCTTTGTCCTTGGAGGGTACGCTGCCACCACCAAGGGATTTAACAAAGAGTCAGGGAAAGGACCACTGGGAGTTCCTATTCCCCCAAAATATCTCCCCAAGCCCTTACACCCCCTCTCCTGTGGAGGCTTGAGAATAATATCCTCACCAATTGGTTACAAAGTGATCACAGACCCAAACCCCTGGGTTTTAGGACAGTAGAGAAATCAGTCAGGTTCTTAAAAGAAGGATTTTATTTTTAAAAAAAGGTAAAAATCACCTCGGTAAAATCAGGACGGAAAATAACTTTACAGGGTAACAAAAGATTCAAAAACACAGCAGAACTTCTTCTAGGCTTAGTTTCAAAGTTACAAAAAACAGGAATAAACCTCTCTCCAGCAAAGGAAAAATTCACAAGCAAAACAAAAGATAATCTAACACGCCTTACCTGGCTTTACTTACAATTTTTGTAATATGAGAGACTGTTAGGATGGTTTATAGGAGAAGGAGTTTTCTGACCTGATACTTCTCTGCTTCCCAAGAGAACACACAAAACAAAGCCTTCCTCCCCCCGCCCCTCAAGCTTTGAAAGTATCTTCTTTCCCCATGGGTCCTTTTAGTCAGGTGCCAACCAGGTTATCTGAGCTTCTTAACCCCTTACGGTAAGGAGGAATTCTAGGCTACCCTTAGCTGTATGGTTATGACAGGGCTCCTGCCCCAAATCTCACCCCAGCCCCTTCTCGCCCCGCTGCAGGAAGAGCGCTGCCGGCTACAACCTGACAGGGCTGTTTGTGGGCTCCGAGGGGACACTGGGGCTCATCACCCAGGCTACGCTGCGGCTCCATGGCAGCCCTGAGGCCACAGTGGCAGCCGTGTGCGCCTTCCCCAGTGTGCAGGCGGCGGTGGGCTGCACGGTGCAGGTGCTGCAGGCCTGCATCCCCGTGGCCCGGATCGGTGAGTTGGCTGCCCCGTGCCCTGCAGAGCATGCCCTGGGGAGCAGGGGGTATCGCTCCCCAGTGGGCTACAGAGCCGTCCAGGGCTCTGACCCCCAGCCTCTCTGCTCCCCCAGAGTTCCTGGATGATGTCATGATGGCTGCCTGTAACCGGTTCAGTGGCCTGAGCTACACCGTGTCCCCCACGCTCTTCCTGGAGTTTCACGGCTCGCCCAGCAGTGTGGAGGAGCAGGTCCGGCAGGCAGGTATGCCCATGACGCCAGGGGGGTGCTGCCCAGGGGGGCACAGATTGGGGGCCCTCCCTCCTCCTGGTGCAGCAGGGGAGCAGCAGCCCTGGGGCAGTGGGCACTGCTAGGACACCAGAGGCATATTCGGATGGTGCCATGGGGTTGGGTGGAGCTGTGGGGTGGCTGGCTGCCCGGCCTGTGGCTGAGGTGGGCTGTTGCTGCCCTTCCCCTTTTCTGTAGGGGACAGAGTTGCTCTGTCCTGCCCTGGCCAAGTCTGTCGCCATGCCAGGGAGTGGATCTCTCACCTCCCGTCCCACAGACCTGCTGGTGCAGGTCTCCAGCAACAGGGGAAGCCAGGCCTCTACCCTGCCCCGGCCTGCCTGGCAGAGGCGGCTGGCAGCCAGGCCCCGCTCCGGGGGCAGGGGTCTGACAGTGAGGGGGTCTCTCCCTTTGCAGAGGAGATCGTGCAGCTGAATGGCGGCTCAGACTTTGCCTGGGCCCGGGAACCAGAGGCAAGGAACAAGCTGTGGGCCGCTCGGCACAACGCCTGGTATGCAGCCTTGGCCCTGCGCCCTGGAAGCAAGGTGGGCTAGCGCTGGAGGGAGGGGAATGCCAGGGGGAAGGGGGGGTCACTTGGAGGGGGGTGGGGGAGTGCCCGAGGAGAGGGGGTGGGGGAGGCTGGGGGAAGAGGGGGTCACTTGGGGAGAGGGTGAGGGAGTGCCTGAGGGACAAGGGGTGTCTGGGGAGAGGGTAAGGGGTACCAAGGGAAGGGACATGATTATAAAATCATGACTGGTGTGGAGAAAGTAAATAAGGAAGTGTTATTTACTCCTTCTCATAACACAAGAACAAGGGGCCACCAAATGAAATTAATAGGCAGCAGGTTTAAAACAAACACAAGAAAGTATTTTTTCACTCAACCTACAGTCAACCTGCGGAACTCCTTGCCAGAGGATGTTGTGAAGGCCAAGACTATAAGGGGGTTCAAAAGGGAGCTAGATAGATTCATGGAGGATAGGTCCTTCAATTACTATTAGCCAGGATGGGCAAGGATGGTGTCCCTAGCCTCTGTTTGCCAGACGCTGGGAATGGGTGACAGGGGATGGATCACTTGATGATTCCCTGTTCTGTTCATTCCCTCTGGGGCACCTGGCATTGACCACTGTCGGTAGACAGGATACTGGGCTAGATGGACCTTTGATGTGACCCAATATGACCATTCTTATGTTCTTATGACTGGGGGGCATCAGGGGAAGGGACTGGGGAGTGATATGGGGGCTTTTGGTGAGCCAGGGACATGAGACTCTCTGGGCTTTCCCCAGTCTGGGGGGGCCAGTGCCCACCCACAGAACTGTTCTGCCCTAGCGTGACTGCTGACGGCCGCTCCTCAATGGGCGTCCCAAAGTCAGTGGTCCCCAGACCTTCAGGGGACTCCACTGAACAGCACGTCCCGAGCCCCATGCCTGGGAGGGCTTAGCAAGGGTTTTCCCAAGTTGAGCCTGGGTCCCATAAGTGGGGCGCAGGGGGAGCTGGGATCCTCTGGGGGCCCAAGAGAGGCCAGTGTGCACCCCCTGCATGAGGCTGGATCAGGGTGCCCAAATGTGTCCAGTCAATCCTGTGGAGCGGGTCAGTGAGCCTTCTCCGGTGTCCCCCCAGGGCTACTCCACGGACGTGTGCGTCCCCATCTCCCGGCTGCCCCACATCGTGGGAGAGACCCACAGAGACCTGCAGGAGTCGGGGCTCACAGGTAGGTCTCCACTGAGCCTGGGGTCAGGGCCTGTGCAGCTGGGGGTCACTTCACTGGGGTTGGGCGAGGCAGCAGGAGAAGGGATGACATGACGGGGTTGGTGCTGCTCCCATCCCCCTGCGGTCAGGCCTGCCTGCCATTATCCTGTCTGGGTGTGGGAGCCATGGGACTGAGGGCTGCAGACAGAGGGGGCAGAGGCCCTGCCCCACATTGCCGCAGGAGTTGGGAATAAACCCAAATGCGGCCCCTAAACGCCAACCACCCACAGTGCACCTGTCTGGGGTGAACGCCTCACTGGCACGAGTGCCTGACAATGCCCACCAACGCAGAGAACAGGGCAGCTGGGCACGCTTCACATGCATCACACACATCAGACACTTCACACACACATCAGACGCTTCACACACATCAGACGCTTCACACACACAACACGCTTCACACACATCAGACATGCATCAGATGCTTCTAACGCACTTGACATACTCCACCCACAGCTCTGGCTAGTGCCCCTCGATCCCAGGGGTCCGAGCCCGGGGGCTGTGCTGAGCAGGACCTGTGTTTTAGTGGGGCTGCAAGGGGACTAAGCCAGCCTGGCTCCCCAGAGCTGGAACTAATAAGCCCTGGGCCTGCCATGACCCCCACCTGTCAGGGAACATGCTCCCTGGGCGACATTCCTGTGCCCCTACACTGTGACCTCATCCAGTCTCACCCCGTGCTGGGGCAGGCTGGACAGGACAAGCCAATGGCTGAGCCAGCCCGCGCCGGGGAGCGGCGCTGCTGGAGATCCCGTCCTCCCGAGCCATTGGGACATGCGGCCCCTCATGCACTGGCCAGATCCCGATGGGGGGGATATCCGTGATGAGCTACCCCCACCCCCACCCCCATCTCAGTGGGGCGGGGGGCTCCTTCCCCAAACCCTGGGCATGGCCCCTTTCTGCCCAGAGGGGGCTGCATTTCAGGGGTGGGTAATGACTCCAGCGTGGGCTCTGTAGGGCAAGGGGCCCCACTGGAGGAGGGGTGGGAGGGAGCCAGGCAGTAGGTGTCTGGGCTGGGAGAGGGTCTCCATATGAGCAGCTGGTCTGTGTCCCCTCAGGCCCGATAGTTGGGCACGTGGGCGACGGGAACTTTCACTGCATACTGGTGTTCGACCCGGCCAACCTGGCCGAGAGCCAGCGCGTCAAGGAGTTTGCAACCCGACTGGCCAGGTAGGAAGCCAGCTCTTCCCAGCCCTGATCTGCCCTGCCAAGCCTGCCTCTGCCCAGCTCTGCTCTCCTCAGTATTACCCACGTTGTCTTGCCCTGCTGGCCCAGCTCTGCCCAGTGCTAACCAGCCCTGCCCAGCCCGGCTCTGTCCTGCCCAGCCCTATCTGCCCGGCCCGACCCAGCTCTGCTCTGCCCAGTGCTACCCCGCCCTGCTCAGTGCAGCTCAGCCCTGCATGGCCCATCTCTGGTGTTGAAGGGCAGAAGCAACTCATGGGATCCTGCGGGGGGCAGATGGGGCCCGCCCTAACTGGCCTTTGAGCACAGACCTAGCGACATGGGGGGGCACACCAGGGAGGGGCCCAGAGCTCAGGACCAGGGTGGCAGAAGAAGCAACCAGAAGAGTTTCCAGGAGCTACCTGTCCTGGACTCCTCGCTGAGAGCTCAGGCAGCCCTCCCAGGACACATGGGAGACTGGAGCTGCTCTGCACATGGGGGACAGTCGGGCACTTGCTCCTCACATGGGGCCCTGGAGCACAGCCAGGCTGGGCAGGGTCTGGATGGGGTCAGTAGTTGTCCCAGAAGCAAAGGGCGGGGGGGACTGTACACACATGGGGCGCACCCCAGGGCCACACCCTGCTCTTTTGTACCCTCCCCCTGGGCTGTGTCCCCCTCACCCGCTCCCTTTGGCATGCTACACCTTCAGCATCCGCTATGGGCAGCTGGCACACAGCTGAGCCCTCCCCTGCCCCTAGGGTGAATTCACATGAAGGGATCTGACCCTGGGGTTCCTGTACCCCTGTGGACCCCCTGCCAGTTGGTCCAAGGGTCCCCCGGTGACACCCTCCCCTTGACTGTGCTGCCCCCACCTGGTGCAGCCGCCCCGGCCACCCTCCCCCCAGCTGCCCTGCCCTCCTGCTGATGCATATCCTGCCCCCTCTCCTCCCAGACGGGCCCTAGCCCTGGACGGCACCTGCACGGGTGAGCATGGCATCGGCCTGGGCAAGCGCCATCTGATGCGGGAGGAGATCGGGGAGCTGGGACTGACTGTCATGAGGCAGATCAAGGCCACGCTGGACCCCAAGAATCTCATGAACCCTGGGAAGGTGCTGTGAGGGGCACCGCCCACCCTTGCCCAGCCAGCCCAGAGCAGCGCTGGCATGGCAGGTTCCCTCCCCCTCTCCATGCAGACAGTGACTCAAGTCTGGACCCTTGAGCCGAGTTGAGGCCACTGGATCGTATGTGCCACGGGAGGGAGGGACTGGAAGCGGTAGAAGGCAGCAGGCTTAATGTCAGCAAACCCCTTCCTGTCCTCCCTGCCTCTCCTGGCCCTGGGCTCCCCCACAGCTCTAATAATACCCCGCTTCACCTTTCCCAGCCCTGGGCTCCCCCCTCACCTCTGTCCCAGCCCCCCCCCTCTGCCCTAGGACCTCCCAGCTCTGTCCCAGCTCCCCCCACTGCCTCTCCCAGCCCTGTGACTCCCCCTAGCTCTCCTATCACCCTCCTCTCCCCCGGTCACCTTTTCTGGCCCTAGGCTCCCCACTCTCAGCTCTGCCTCAGCCCTCCTGCCTCTTCCAGCCCTAGGACCCCCACCCCAGTTTTGCTAGTGGCCTTGTGACAATGTGGGGAATTTTCTTAACAGTTTGTATGAATACTGTGTGGGCCTCAGTTTCCCCTGTGTGCTGCTGTTTACCCAGGGGGTGGGTGAGGGGGTTTGGTGTTGCAGAGGCCCAGGTGTGACCCTGCCTAGCAGCCTGGCCTGGACGCTGTGTCACTTAGCTACTGATGACTAGGTGGCCCTGCCCAGCTTGGAACCCACTGGGTCTGGCCAGCGGGAGAGCAAAGGGCTGCAGAGGGCCCAGGGGATGTGTGTGCCCGGAACAAAGACAAAGGACGGAGGAAGGGCCTTTGAGGAGGTGGTAGAGGGGGTCGGCTGGATGGACAAAGAGGGGGCTGGGCCCGCTGGGACTTGGCCAGACCCAGTTGTACTGTGCGGTAACTTCCTACTCTGTGTTCCCCACTTCCAATAACCGCTGCTTTACATGCTGGCTGAGTCACTACAGGCTAAACAGGCGGGGGCCGTATTGCTCCCTCAGGGTGGGCAGGCCGTGGGGGCGCTGACAGGGGCTCACGGGGTGAGGCCGCGGGCTGGCGGTGGAGGCAAAGGGCTCCCCCTCGTGAGAACGCGTGACCTTACGGAGGGTAACATTGCAAAGGGGCCTTCTCAGGGACCGGATGGAGGCGTGAGCGAGCACCAGGGCTGTGCTTGTGTGACACTCCTCAACCCCAGCCTGCAGGCCCCTGCTGGCCCAGCCTTGGCCTAGGTCCTTCCCCCAACCCATTCTGCCAGCACCCTGCACAGCAGAGCCATGGCGCTGGCTAACGCAAATCCAGCCCCCCCAAAGCCAGTACTAAAGCTGGCTGTGAGCAGAGTGACCTCCTGCCCTGGGACAGGGGCAGAGGGCTGGGGGGGGAGGGTATTCCCCACAGTGCTCAGTCAATAAACCCACCTTCTGCAAAGCAGGCCCCCAAATCCGGCAGTGCCCAGGGCCCACCCCCACCCTCCCTGCTGCCCAGCCGGGTGGTGCCAAGGGCCACAGACGGCACCTGGAGCCTAGCATGGCTTTATGCCCGTCTATGGCTCCGGGCATCCAGACTGGGTGCTGAGAGCCTGGCCCAGCATGGCAGCCACTGTGCCAGCTTCCCATGGCAGGGGCAGAAGCACCTCAGTCCTGTGTGGCCCAGCACCCGCCAGGGCAAAGCTCCAGACAGGTAAGGGCAGGAGTAGGGCATGCTAGGGGGCACCTGTGCCATGCTGTTCATGGGGCCTGCTGGGCATGGAGATAGAGTGGAGAGGGGCCAATGGGGCCCCAGGTGGCTCCCCTCTGCCCCTGCAGTCTGGCCGTCCCCGAGCTCTGCGTGGAGCACAGCGTAGGGGTGAGCCCTGTGTTCAGCCTGCAGCAAACATGGGAATTGTTTGTAATACAGCTGTGAAGCCCACGTCTGCCTCAGTTTCAGTTGCCTGGATACCCAGTGGGTACAAAAGGGTTAATGTTGCACCTGGCCTATGCTGGCTGGTGAACCTGCCCCAGCTCCCCCAGGGGGCCAGAGACAATGGCAGACCCCCAGCCGGAACAGCTGACAGCACGGCCCAAGGGGTTTCCCTGCAGGAAGAGGTGACCCACCCCCAGGAGCAAGCTGGGGCCCCCAGCACCCTTCCCTGCCAGCAAGCTCCTGACTCTCCTCGTACCTCCAGGGGACTGCCTGCCCCAGAAGGAGCATGCACAAGCTCCCAACTTCCCAGTGAGGGGGCAATGGGGCAGGAGAACTGCTCCCCACAGGCACAGCATGGGGCTCCCCTGCCAGCCAGCACCTCCCTGGGGGCTGGCTGGGAGCCCATCCCTCCCCCTGCCTAATAGCTACATGTGCCTCCTTCACCCCCCCAGGAGCCCAGCCCTGCAGCCCCCTGTGCCCATCCCTTCTGCCTCCAGCACTGCCCAACAGAGAGAGGGCACTGTCACCCTTGGCAGCTGCAACCGCTGCATGGGCCTGGTAGAGGCTGCAGGCGCCACGTGGCCTTCCCCAGCATCGCCTGCGCCTGGCCTACTGGGGCACTAGCATAGGATGGCTCAGCAGGGCCCCTACCCTGCTCCCCAAGGCTTGTGAGCCTGGGGTCTGGCCCCAGAGCCTAGGCCTGCACAGCAAAGCCTGGTGGAGACCCGTACTGCAAGGCGAGAGGCCCTGCCACGGTTCCCCCTAGTGGGAAGCTGGAGCCCCCGACCCTGCAGGGCAGGTTCCCGGTGCTGGAGCTCCAGCTGTGAGCAATGGCCTGGCCCAACAAAGGGCCAGTCTGGCCTCAGCGCCCACCTGCAGGAGGGAGTCTCTGGACCAGCCTGGTGGAGCCCCTGAGTCCTCTGTCCTTGTGGCCCCTGCCTGCACCTGCCGGGGAGCTCCTGTGGCCCCAACTCCTCCCCAAGGCCAAAGGCTGGGGCCCTTCACCTCCAAGACAGTCCTTCACATGGCTGGGGGCAAGGAGGCAAAGCAAAGCCCCCCCTAGTGCATCTGAGAAAGGACATGGGCTTCGCAAAGGGGCGGGATGTGGGGCTCATAAGTGCTCCCAGCTGTGGTAAGCAAAGGTGCATGTGTGCAGCCGTGTGTGGTGCCTGTGAGCTGTGGGTGTGTACGTGGCTTTGTACATGTGCACATCCTGCATCTGCCTGCCTGCGTAAGCACGTCACACGAGAGTGGTCATGTGGGCAGTGCCCCGAACACCCTCTCTCCAGCAGGCACAGCAGCACGGACCTGGGGCAGCCATGGGGCACCCCAGGGCAGGGCTTGGCTGCTCCAGCACCGTGGGAATTCACACAGCCTGGCCTTTCCGCAGCCAGGGAGCGTAAACCCTGCTGGCACTCGGGCTTGGCTCCAGCACCACACAGGGCCATGGCACCAACGTCATGCAGCAGGATCTTCCTCACCTCCACACCTGGGCCTCTGCTCTCAGCCAGGCCCCCATGCTGGAAGCCACATGGCACCATGGTGCTGGTTGGTGACTGCAGAGCCTTTAATTGCATCCAGCCCCCCCCCCCATTTGGGTAACCACAGCGACCAGTGCCCATTCGGGCCCTAAATCAGTGCCCCCAGCAGCTGTACTTGCAGCCAGGGGTGTAGGCGAGCCCATGGATCAGCAACAGTAACAAGCCACCAACTGATCCATACCTGAGAACTCTGGTGATGACGTTAGACCAGCTTCCAGCTCCCACCCCATGGCCAGGCCGGCCCCACAGGGACAGGCTCCAGCTCCCTCCCCCATGGCCGGGCTGGCCCCACAGAGCCCACGGTGACCAGAATCCAGCTCCCGCCCCATGGACGGGCTGGCCCCACAGAGCCCACGGTGACCAGAATCCAGCTCCCGCTCCCATGGCCAGGCTGGCCCCACAGAGCCCCCGGTGACCAGAATCCAGCTCCCGCCCCGTGGACGGGCTGGCCCCACAGAGCCCACGGTGACCAGAGTCCAGCTCCCTCCCCCATGGCCGGGCTGGCCCCACAGAGCCCACGGTGACCAGAATCCAGCTCCCGCCCCGTGGACGGGCTGGCCAAGCTCAGAGCACCACAGCAGTAACCCCCATTCTCAGCACCCCCAGGAGCTCTGACTCCACGGCAGGCGGGGACAGATCTCTTACAGAGGGGCCTTTTGTAGCAGAGTCACTGTTCAGAGCATGCCTGTTTTCTAGGGCTCCCACCAAGGAAGGGGGCAACTTCCCAGGGCAGTAATCTCTGGCAGTGCTGGCTGCTGCCATGGGACAGAGGGTGACCTAGAGATTTGCCAGGGTGCCAATACAAATAGGAGATAAGATCAACTTGTGTTGGGAATTGGTTCCCACCCGGCCTGCCCATGAGAATGGCACCATTGCCCCAATCTGTCCTCGGCCGAGCCCTGCGGGTACATGGGAAGCTGAGCTCAATGCAGGGCAGGGCTGTCTGATCAACCTTAGTAGCGATTACAGCCCTGTCTCTGAAATGGCCAGACCCAGCTAGGCATGCTCGCCATCCCTGGAGTAGGTTGATGGGTCTCTGCAGGGCTGCCGACAAGATCGGGGCCGCATCTGGGGCAAGGTCTGGCTTTGATCCAGTGCGCAGCTCCCTGCACCACACTGCCCCACTTCCGCTGGCAGCTTCTAGGTGCTACTGTCATAGAATAATGAGGCACCCTTTGCACTGCTGCTTGGGGGAGCGGAGAGACGGACTCCTGGTCAAGCTGATTTAGGGCAGAGTGGGGGCAGGGAAGGGCCTGTCATCTTCATACCACCACTCTGATCTTCTCTAGCAGCCAGGAATTCCCCCCACGCCCTAATATCACTGCACCGGTGCTGTCAGGGAAAGGGCCTAGGGAACCTTGACTGCAGAAGCGGCCATGGGGCAAGGGGGCAGTTAACATCTCATTGTGCTGAAGGGGCACAGGGGACATAAACCAGGAGGGTGCCGTGGCCGCTTCTGCAGTCAAGGTTCCCTAGGCGCTTTCCCTAACAGCATCGGTGCAGTGATATTGGGGCGTGGGGGGGATTGGGTAGGGGAGGCTCTGCACTGTTCCCATCTAGCTTCTAAGACAGGCAAACTTTGCTTCCAAGAGGCTGGGAGGGAAGGAAGGGAGGGAGGGATCAGCAAGGAAAGCTGCCTCATGCGGGCCAGAAAGTGTAGGGGAAAGGGAGATCTGCCACAAGCCGAGCAGAGCTGCACTGTGCAAAGGGCATTAAAACCAACAGTGACAGGTGTGACAGCCCTAACTACAAAAAAACCAAGGAAAGAAGGAGGAGGGCTGAGCGCTGAGAAGGGGCTGGAGATATTTTTAAGGTCAGGCTTGACAAAGCCCTGGCTGGGATGATTTAGTTGGGGATTGGTCCTGCTTTGAGCAGGGGGTTGGACTAGATGACCTTCTGAGGTCCCTTCCAACCCTGATCTTCTATGATAAAGATAATCTAGGCATGGCCCAACGCCTACACAAACTTGGCCTCAGTTTTCCCCAGGGTCAGGAGGACTTGGGGGCAGTGGCAGGGTGGCTCATGGGAATGAGGATTGCTAATATACCCATAGTTAAGGGGAAACAAAAGTGATCTGGGAAATTACAGGCCCATTAGTTTGACCTCAGTTGTATGCAAGGTTTTATAACACATTCTGTAACAGCCATTAAGGACAGAGGTGAATGGGAATCAAGATAAAATACACGGTTTTACAAAAGGTAGATCATGCCAGATCAACCTGATCTCCTTTCTAGACAAAGGAAATGCAGTAGATCAAATCTACTTGGATTGCCTTAAGGCATTTCATATGAGTCTACACAGGAAACGATTAGTTAAATTTAAGAAAATGGGGATTAACATGAAAATGGAAAAGGTGGGTAAAGAACGGGTTAAAGGGGGACCATTGAAAGGCTAGTGGAGTTCCTCAGGGATCGGCCTTGGGATCCGTCTCATTCAACATTTGCATTGACCTTGGCACAAAAAGTGGGACTTCGCTAATAAAATTTGCAGAGGACATTGGGAGGCATTGCCAATATAGAGGAGGACTGGAATATAATACAAGAAGAGCTAGAGGACCTTGAAAACTGGAATAATAGAAATGGGATGAAATTTAATAGTGCAAAGTCATGCACTTTGGGACTAACAACAAGAATTTTTGCTATAAACTGAGGACAAATCAGTTGGAAGTGAGAGGAGAAAGACCTGGGCGTATGGCTCAGTCATCCTGTGATCAGTGTGATGCGCTGTGAAAAAGGCTAAAGTCAATCCTAGGATGCATCTGGCGAGGTATTTCCAGTAGAGACAGGGAAGTGTTATTGCCATTATACCAGGCACTGGTGAGACCTCACCTGGAACACTGTGCGTGGGATACTATGGTCTCCCATGGTAAGAAAGATGAATTCAAACTGGAAGAGGAGCAGCGAAGAGCTACTAGGATGATCTGAGTAATGGAAAACCTACCTTGCGAGAGGAGAGTCAAAGAGCTTGGCTTGTTCAGCCTCACCAAATGAAGGCTGAGGGGAGATAGGATCACTCTCTATAAATACATCAGAGGGATAAACACCGGGGAGGGAGAGGAGTTATTTAAGTTAAGAGCCAACGTTGTACAAAAACAAATGGATAGAAACTAACCATCAATAAGTTTAGGCTTGAAATTAGATGAAGATTCTAACCATCAGAGGAGTGAACTTCTGGCGTAGCCTCCCAAGGGGAGCAGTGGGGGCAAAAAACCCAACTGGCTTCAAGACTGAGCTTGATAAGTTTATGGAGGGGTGTCATAAATATAAAGGGAAGGGTAAACCCCTTTAAAATCCCTCCTGGCCAGAGGAAAAAAAATCCTCTCACCTGTAAAGGGTTAAAAAGCTAAAGGTAACCTCACTGGCACCTGACCAAAATGACCAATGAGGAGACAAGATACTTTCAAAAAGCTGGGAGGAGGGAGAGAAACAAAGGGTCTGTGTGTCTGTCTATATGCTGTTTCTGCCGGGGATAGACCAGGAATGGAGTCTTAGAACTTTTAGTAAGTAATCTAGCTAGGTATGTGTTAGATTATGATTTCTTTAAATGGCTGAGAAAAGAATTGTGCTGAATAGAATAACTATTTCTGTCTGTGTATCTTTTTTGTAACTTAAGGTTTTACCTAGAGGGATTCTCTATGTTTTGAATCTAATTACCCTGTAAGGTATCTACCATCCTGATTTTACAGAGGTGATTTCTATTTACTTCTATTTCTATTAAAAGTCTTCTTGTAAGAAAACTGAATGCTTTTTCATTGTTCTCAGATCCAAGGGTTTGGGTCTGTGGTCACCTATGCAAATTGGTGAGGCTTTTTATCCAACATTTCCCAGGAAAGGGGGGGTGCAAGTGTTGGGAGGATTGTTCATTGTTCTTAAGATCCAAGGGTCTGGGTCTGTGGTCACCTAGGCAAATTGGTGAGGCTTTTTACTAAACCTTGTCCAGGAAGTGGGGTGCAAGGTTTTGGGAAGTATTTTGGGGGGAAAGACGTTTCCAAACAGCTCTTCCCCAGTAACCAGTATTTGTTTGGTGGTGGTAGCAGCCAATCCAAGGACAAAGGGTGAAATATTTTGTACCTTGGGGAAGTTTTGACCTAAGCTGGTAAAGATAAGCTTAGGAGGTTTTTCATGCAGGTCCCCACATCTGTACCCTAGCCTTCAGAGTGGGGAAGGAACCTTGACAAGGGGATGGAGTGATGAGTTGGGCTGCATGCCATTGTAGCCAATCTGTGATTGCTAGCAGCAAATATCCCCAATGGCTGCAGACAGGACATTAGATGGGGCAGGCTCTGAGTTACTACAGATAATTCCTTCCCAGGTGTCTGGCTGGTGGGTCTCGCCCACATGCTCAGTATCTAACTGATCACTGTATTTGGGGTTGGAAAAGAATTTTCCACTGGGTCAGATTGGCTGAGACCCACAGATCATGGGTCACTTGCTGGTTTGAACTAGAGTCAACTCTGGATTCCCTGTAACTTGATGTCTTTAAACCATGACTGAGGACTGCAGTTATTCAGCCAGAGGCTAGAGGTTTATCACAGGATGTGAAGATCTGTGGCCTGCAGTGTGCAGGTCAGACTAGATGATCACGATGGCCTGTTGTGGCCTTTGGCTATGTGTCTATGAGCAGTAGTGGGGGGATCTAGTGCCCTTAGCCCCACTCCGTCCCCAGCACTGTCCAATCCAATCATAGAATCATAGAATATCAGGGTTGGAAGGGACCTCAGGAGGTCATCTAGTCCAACCCCCTGCTCAAAGCAGGACCAACCCCAACTAAATCATCTCAGCCAGGGCTTTGTCAAACCAGGCCTTAAAAACCTCTAAGGATGGAGATTCCACCACCTCCCTAGGTAACGCATTCCAGTGCTTCACCACCCTCCTAGTGAAATAGTGTTTCCTGATATCAAACCTAGACCTCCCCCACTGCAACTTGAGACCACTGCTTCTTGTTCTGTCATCTGCCACCACTGAGAACAGTCTAGATCCATCCTCTTTGGAACCTCCCTTCAGGTAGTTGAAGCCTGCTATCAAATCCCCCCTCATTCTTCTCTTCTGCAGACCAAATAACCCCAGTTCCGTCAGCCTCTCCTCGTAAGTCATGTGCCCCAGCCCCCTAATAACTTTTGTTGCCCTCCGCTGGACTCTCTTCAATTTGTCCACAACCCTTCTGTAGTGGGGGAACCAAAACTGGATGCAATACTCCAGGACTGGCCTCACCAGTTCCGAATAGAGGGGAATAATCACTTCCCACGATCTGCTGGCAATGCTCCTGCTAATCCAGCCCAGTATGCCATTGGCCTTCTTGTCAACGAGGGCACACTGCTGACTCATATCCAGCTTCTCGTCCACTGTAATCCCCAGGTCCTTTTCTGCAGAACTGCTGCTTAGCCAGTCGGTCCCCAGCCTGTAGCGGTGCATGGGATTCTTCCTTCCTAAGTGCAGGACTCTGCACTTGTCCTTGTTGAACCTCATCAGATTTCTTTTGGCCCAGTCCTCCAATTTGTCTAGGGCCTTCTGTATCCTATCCCTATCCCCCAGCGTATCTACCACTCCTCCCACTTTAGTGTCATCTGCAAACTTGCTGAGGATGCAATCCGCACCATCCTCCAGATCATTAATAAAGATATTGAACAAAACCACCCCAGGACTGACCCCTGGGGTACTTTGCTTGATACTGGCTCCCAACTAGACACAGAGCCATTGATCACCACCCATTGAGCCCGACGATCTAGTCAACTTTCTATCCACCTTATTGTCCATTCATCCTTGTTCAATGCCCCGAACAAGGACACCCCACCCCATACCCAGCAACCCCCACATGTAAGCTGCAGCAACTGAAGGGCATCTTGCCGCTCCAGCCCCACTCACCTCGTGCCAGGGCCCTGGCAGCATCCTGTTCCCATGCCACACTGCTTCACCAATGCCATTGAAATAAAGCAGCGAGGAGGTTATTGAACAGTATTTTAATACCATATCAAAACACCTGAACTAATGAAGAAAGCTCCCCTCCCCCCCAAGCTCCAAACAATTTTTTTAATTTTTAATTTTTTTTTTTAATATATAAATACAGAAACCTTTCCGGCAAGGCCCAAGCCCACCGCTGGGAAACTTTTTGCCACGGCTAAAATGCTCCTCCCATGTGCTGCTCTCCTCAACAGCAGGTGTGGGGGGGGAGGGGTTGCTTTAATAAAATCCCCCCTCTTTCCTTTTTCTGTCTGGAACAAAAAAATTCCTAATAAAAAGGATCCAGCGTCTCTGTAGGATGTGCATGACTTTGAACCTTTAACTGTAATGAAACCATCCCCCCCTTACACACACACAAAAAAGGAGGGGACAGTTCAGTGGAGACTCATCAAAAGAAATAAGGAATCCTTTTTTTGGCCACTAGGTATCATGAGGCTGAGTGGAAGGCGGTAGGAGAGGGGATGAAAGCTTTTTGGGTGGCATCTGGCTATTTCAGTCACTGAGCATTGATACCCCAGTTCAAGAGCAGTCAGTCCGTAAACATCAGCAGGCAAACACACCAGTCGACACTGAACTGTTTTGTTTTTTTGTAAACACTTTAAAGACAGACCTACAATGCCTCCTGCAGGTGAACAGAAACTGCCCCCATTGCTGGGGGCCATTTGTCTCCTGTCATGCTCGGCTGATTACAGTTTGGTGTCCTCAAAGGGAAAAAAAAAAATCCGTAGTCAGTGCAAAAGTGAGCAGGGCTCACGGTGCCAGGCCCAGCCCAGAGCAGAGGTGCTTGCTAGGGATACAGGAATTCACCGGGGTTTCAATAGGAATAAATAATGCGTGCTCCGTTTGGCCAGTCGGCCCGTGACACCTCTGTCCCAGGTCAGCTTTCCTTTTGCGGCTGGAAGAAAAGGCCCTTGAGCCAAACATCATGATGGAATTTCATTTCAGGGTCGCAATTCACTGCTCCTGCTTCCTCTCCCTTGGTTGGCAGGTTCTTCTCCCCCCATGTCAGGTGCTGTGGAGGTGAAAGTATGGAGAGCAGGCAGCTCTGCTTGCAGGGACAGGCTCGCCTGTATTGATTTTCCCTTTAAATTTAAAAAAAAAACCTGCAGCATTCAAGTGCCTTCAAGTTTCTGGTTTTTGAGAAGTTGAAGAGTCATCCCGAAACTCCCGGCTGTGGCGGGTGGGAAGGGGAGAGGATGAGTGGCAGGTACAGCAAGGTGCCCTGTAGAGAGAGCGACAACCCAATGTCACCACACCTGCCTCGCCCAGCCAGGCCAGCTCCCTGGTGGAGTGCACTCTAGCACCCAATGGCTGCGTGCTCAGTGTGCATGCAGATGGGCCTTCAGACAGACCCGCCGCCCCAGTGCGTGTCAGCGTGTGCACGTCTAGCTTCCACCACCCCATGCTGCAGAAGGGACACACTCCCACAAGCAGGGAGCTGTGCAGTCTCCAGGAAAGGGTTAAACTCGTGCTTGCCGAGCGTTCCGATCCCTGGAGGACAAGGAGTTATTATGGGACAACGCTGGACATGAAGCTACATCTACATGGCCCCGCAGTGCACATCGTGGCAGCCAGCTGCAGTGTCCCCCGAAGTGTAACTGCCCCGTGTAGATCCTGCTCAGGTGAACTAAAAGGTACCGAGCTGATGCTCAGCTAGCCCCGTTTCAAACAGGACTAGTGAACGTGACCTTGGTGCCTTTTAGTTCACCCTAGCGGAGTCACCATACAGTGGTTACAGCGCACCACTTCAGCAAGTGCTGCAATTCGCCCCCGTAGTGCCTGCTGCTGGGCTGTGTGGACAAGCCCTTGAACACAAGGTGGGATTCTCCAATCTGCCTAGGGAAACTGAGTCCCGATTTCTTAGCTGGCTCGGATCACCTCAGCCAGGAGGGACATTCTCTCACTTGCATTAGTCAAAGCTTTGGAACCTCCCGCTGAACATGTCCGGTCTCATTTACACAGTCGACCAATTTCAAGGGTCAGCCCTTTGCCCTTCTCCCAGCGTGGCCAGCGTGAAGCCAGGTGGACCCTGCCCTGCCTGCTGGCAGTGCTACTTGGATCCCAAGTGACACAGGAGATGGTGCAAGTGAATACCCTGGCACGGGGCGGGGAGCTCCGGCTGTCCTCACTCGGCCATTCCCTAGCAAAGTGGCTCACTGGACAAGCTGAAGCAACAACTTTCTCCCTGTCAGCCCCTTCCCCTCTCGGACACGGCCACCAGGAAGGCAGGCTCCGCAGGCCATGTGCTGTGCCCCGGGACCCCACGCATGCACTAGGAGTGAGCTCTGCACAGGTGCAGCTGATTAAAACAGAGGGCTCAGTTCTGGTGCTGATGCGCAGGAAGGAACAGCCACCATTCCCTCCCCCGGGACAGGGCTGGCCCCCACAGAGCCAGCAGACCCATCTCTTAGCCACAGAAGCCAGCAGCTCAGACAGATGCCCACGATGAGATAAGAAAGAGGCAGCTATTTTTAGTGTCATTTTGAGCAGCAGAACCACACTTAAAACGATACTTTGCTTTTGAACGTTGATAAAAACAAATGACCCCAATTTGCTTTTCAGACTAAGCCCCGGTTATTTCAGATCACACCGGCCCAGCACTCTGACCTCAGCGCTCTGACACTGTCACTGCAAAACAAAGCATTTTCTTTACAGCTCAACCAGAGATCAGCCTCCCTCGCCGGGGGAGAGATTTAATGCTGCTCTCACCTGGCCCCAGGGAGGAGAGATCCTGAGACAGGTGAATACTTGCTTTGGGGTTGGTTTACTATTCAATTCC